ACTCGTATCAAAGCTCCTCCCCCTCTCCCTACCCCACAAGCTGTCAGATTCTACCAAGGCATTTGACTAACATTATTTACTGAGGATCTTGTTTCAGAGTATTGAATGATTCTAATGATGATTTTTATACTCTTTTCTCTCTCTTATCCCAACTTAAACGAGTTTGTTCTACCTATGTGATCGTGGATAAACATTAATAAATCATCGGAATCATAGTGCTCATTAAACAACCAGATAGCAGAGAAGAGAGAGAAAGAGTCAGATGGATGGTTATAGATAGATCAGATAAAACAGCTACCACCCCCACCTTCAAACATATCAACTTCATCTACACCACCCTCCTTCTGTTTTCTTCCTCTCAATTTTACCAAACAAATCAAATCAAATCATTCTTTTAGGGACGTCCTACACCCACACACCAAAATTGAAGTGACTATACTAAATCAATAATGAAGTGAGGTCTTACAATTTGTAGTTTTGCTAATTTCCATCTGGCTATTCCAAAGACTCTACAAGGAATTTTTAAGAGTTAAATCGTTATTGTTATTTTGCTAGTGTCATTAAATACGCGCGAAATTACTTAACTATCTACAACGGACATCCGACGTTATTGCCAGACCGCCAATCACAGATTCTTGTCCCCGATGTAATTGCATTAATTACTTCCACCGGGAACAGGTCTCTGCCCTGTTGGCTGGTGAATTTGGGAACATTGATTTATATTTTGAACTGAACGCGTCTTGAAATATTCAAGTGATTGATGTATTTAGCTATTTGCTGAATTAGGATGTGATAGATTTATTATAACTATGTCATGTGATCGGCCGTCTGACACAATAACCAAATGTCATAAATATGAAAATTTTAACTTTAATTTATTAATTTTTAATTGCAGCTTTGATTGTATAGCAGTCCCATCCTTACTAAAAGAGATTAAAAATGTCAAATAAATAGCTACCTAGATCCAATTGAACACAATCCGTCTGTCCATATGTCTTCCACTGACGGCTGACCATTTCTTGAAAAAGGTATCCACTAGAATATCCAGTGCCAGGCCTCTCTCTAGGTACATAGTTTTGGTCATCTTGCGATCTCCAAGGAATTTCCTAAGTGCATCGACTTCATCCAAAACTCCCTGCTCCTGTAGTATTTGATCCAGGGTTGATGATAGCGGGCTTGGGCCTACTTGAATGATGCTTCGTTCATACGCCAAGCTTTTACAGTATAGTGCAATGTGGATTTCATTATTCTTTCCGTTTAAGCATAGAGGGCATATTAATACTCTGCTGGATGTCTCAGCTACTGCTTCTGCTGCTCTGTAAGCATCCCTGTTGCCCAGCCCTACATTCATGCATTTAAAGCGGGTCATCACATTAGAGTATCTACTGTTAGTCAGGAAATTCCTCGGTTTCCACCATCTTGTAGGGACCGTGGTGAGCCGAAGAGATACTAGTTTCTGTACAGAGTCCTGGACTTCTAGCTGGTGAATGAGATGGACTTGTTTAATGGTGATATCTTTCAATTCCTGGTCTGTTTCTCTGTATTTAAGTAACAAATCCTGTAGGTTAGTTATATAAAGACTTCTTCCATTTCCTTTATTCCATTCCATGCAGGTCTTTACCAGTTGACTGCCTTTGAATTCCGGATCCTCTACTCGTTTAAAAAATCTTAATTTAGCTGCTGCTATTTGGAGTCTAATTGGTTTCCACCCCAATTCAGTATATATGATTGCATTGGCTGAAGAGTATGGAATTCTTAGCACTGATTTCCCAAGTTTAGACTGGATCAGTTCTAGCTGTTGAATTATGTGTTCAGATACAGATACAGCTTCTTACACCATAAAGAATTGCTGGGAGAGCTACGTTGACCCACAGGGTTGACAAGGCCATAATTCGGTCGATCCCGTCTCTGGTGGTCCGAAGAATGACATCTTTATACATATTTGCTTTTGAGATCATTGTATCACCTTTATACGACGCCGTCTTGCGGTGGGTTGAGAACTGATGGATGCCTAGGTATTTGTATGAAGATACATGTCCTATTATTTCCGACTCTTTGCTAATCCTATCATGAAGCTGACAAACATAATCTTTATCTGGGGAAATTACGTTTGTCTTGGCTGCGGAGATTGTCATCCGAAAATCTTCACACCACCCTTCCAGGATTCTTCTCAGACGATCTGACTCTGCCGTTGTTCTGCCAAGAATGATTATGTCATCTGCAAAGAGTAGGATATTCACTATACTGCCATCTGGCAACCGTGCACCTATACCGCTTGCCCGCATCCGCCTGCTCAGCTTGGAAAGGTAAAGGATGAACAACACACTACTCAAGTTACAACCCTGCCTTAGCCCACGTTTCTGATACTGTGGTGCTGTTCTGATTCCAGTAGCTTTTGTAGAGATGTTGTCCAAGAAATAGTAGCTCTCGAGGAAATTTATGAATGTTTTAGGTATATTAAGCTGGCGCAGCTTCTGTAGTAGTATTCCCCTATCTATGCAATCATACGCCTCCTTGAGGTCTACAAAGAGAAGATGTGATAGAAGTTTTTTACTCTTGTTTATCTCCAGGATTGTGTTTAAGATGAATATATTGTCGCTGCAAGATCTTGACGCTCGGAACCCATTCTGTTCTGGGCCAACGATGTCCTCTTTATCCACCGCCGCTGATAGTCGTTTTGCTAGAATCTTGGTCAGCAGTTTGGATACGCAGCTTATTAGGGTTATTGGTCTATAATTACTGACATCCGTTTGCGGGGTTTTTTTCAGAACTAGAACTACGTCCCCCACTTTCCAGTCTGGTGGAACCAGCCCGCTCACCATAATATTGTTGAACATATCTAAAATCATCTTCCTTGCCTGCACTCCAGTGTTTTTCAGCATCTCATTGGTGATCCCATCCTGTCCTTCGGCTTTATCTGATTGCAAGGAGTTTATAGTGTCGTCCAATTCTTTAGGCATAACAGGTAACATCATTTCATGACTATTCGAATCAGAGAACGTTCTTTCTGGGACACCAAGATTCACTTCTGGGGTATTATCGTACTTCACTTCTTCCTGGACAAAAGTTGTTTTAAATTTCACTTGGAAAAACTGCTCTATTATTGCATTCATTCTTGTGGGACACGTCACAACTCTCCCACCTTGAATCAAACATATCAACTTCATCTACACCACCCTCCTTCTGTTTTCTTCCTCTCAATTTTACCAAACAAACCAATCTAATCTTTTTTGCCTTACCGGCAAAATCTACAAAATTCAACCCCCCTCTGTCTCTCTCTTGGAATTATAGTAATGACATGCGGCATTCGGGAAAATGAAAATTAGAGACCGCGACGCCCTCCCCAGAAAGTCTCCCTACGACCCATGCCTTTGAGGAACTCTGGACTCCCTCCCTCCTAGTGTAGAAACAATTATAATGTTTGCGTCATCTAAATCAGCTGATCGATTCTACATAAAAACGTTTCAGATTCCACGGACCTATAAATATAAAATAGATTTATAATGCAGAAATGATTTCTGTAATAGGTGATTATATAAAATTTTATACTTTAAATTAAAAGGAATTTCTTTCCTTGGAAAAATTAATTTTAAACATGATTAACCCATTCATGACGGGACGGTCAATATTGACCGGGTAAGGTTTTTAATTTTTAGCGCCTTCATTTTTAAACCAAATGTCGTCTCGTTTTATTCCAGATCCTTCACGAGCCGGACAAAATTGGCCGGCCTCTGTATCTCCACAACCCTTTATTGAAAAAAATTGAAACTTTAGATCTACTCTATGGACACTATAATGAGTTAACCCTGTATTTTTCAGCAAGATCAGAAAAAATTTTTTGTCTCGTCACTAATGGGTTAATTGATTGAGAAATTGTCGTCTTCATATTTATGTAAACCGCGAAATCAGGGGTCGAAAAATAGGGACCGTTCACATGACGAAAATAAATTTAAAATAAAATATATTTCCTTTATTTTAATTATGACAATTAATTTCTATTTTCTCAAAATGTTCCTCACCTCGACTTTTATATTTTTAATATATAACTTTTTTTACATTTTTGTCGTCGTTAATTAATAATTTTAAAAAAAAAACTCATTCTGTAAGATGACCGTCCGCAATTCAGGAGTTTTAAACGTCGAATTTGCGCTCAAACTCAGGATTTACAGATCTTTAAAAAGTTTTATATGTATCAAATGAATCCTAACGAAGCTTTCCACAACACTGCGTCTTCAGTTCAACTACCTTACATAGCCGATCACTCCCTTTAATAAATATTTTTTATATTGTTTAAAACTCATTGAATATTTTGGTCAATGTTAACATCTCCGTTTAATATTGGACGAATCTCCTGATGACGTCACGAGTATCAAGGTGAAAAATATAGAAAAAAGAAATAATAATGAAAAATGCTAATCTAGACACTTAGGTACATAAACCGTAATATAGAATTAAGGAAAACTAAAAGCAAATTGAATGATCCGGCCAGGAGTCGGAGGAAAATAAGGAAAAACCTAACATTCTCTTTTTTATTAAGGCTGTAGATACAAGCCACGGTAGTTGGGGCTTCACGGCATTAGCTACTGCCACTTGGGCATAACAGTATCATTGCACATGTCATGCTAACTCTGTGACCCACGTACTCCTCTGGGAGGCAGAGGGTTTCATGGAGGGGTGGTTTCCTGGTAACATTCGTGTTATTGGGATGTCATAATAGATAGAATAATGAGATTACTGAACATGTCAGAAAACTAAACTTTTTAGTCCAGAATTACTAGGCTTACCCGGAGATCTTCACGTTGTTTAGAGACTTTTAGCCTGTCATGTTAAAAGTTTGTCCAGTGTCGTGCACTGGACATCGTGTTCGGCCGGTGAGTGAATTACTGATGCATGGGCTTAGTACATAGCAACACAAAAATAACCAGCTCGGTCCGAATAAAAAAAATTCGACACGGAATTAAAGAGCCCCTGCTTAAATGTTATATTTACAAGAATCCTACCTGCACTATTTACAAAATAATCGCACTCCACGGTTCCATGACTAGTTTCCACAGCCTTCACAGTTCCATCTTTAGATATTATTCTTTTCACCTAATCAATTAATCTAGAAAATGAAGCTCTTGCTCATATATATTTGTTTGTGTTAGCTTTGGCAGGCCGAACGGCTGGACCGAATGGGCTGAATTTTTTTGATGAGTAATTCAAAAAAAAAATTTCGTGGGGAACAGTAGGTTTGTATGATAAAGTGGTAAGCGCTTATACCAATATAATGAAGACGACTTTCGATTTCAATTTTGATTTATATCAAGCTGTTAAACAGCATGGAGACACATTAACATAGATGTCAAGAGAAGCCGTCAATTAACAAAAACTTCTCTTTGACTACTTGTAAACTTGTAGCTCGAAAAAAGCTTGTATTTAATCAAAACTTCAGTAAAAAAAAGTCGTCTTCATTTATTGATATAATCGCCTACCACTGTAATATAGAAAAAAGCGAAGACTTTTGGTTGGGATAGCGCTTATCATATTAAAGAAATAGCTCCAAGAAAAGGGGGAATGGAAACCAACTGAGTGAACTTTTAATAGATTTAGAATAAAAAAGTTTGAACATTTCTACGATGTACAAGAAGAGATTTAAAATTGAAAAAAACCGAAATTACCCAGAAATTCTAGTTTTTAAGATTTACCTCACAATTTTCTAAAACTTTGACTCCGCCGGCCATTGCTTCGTTTCCAAGGGCTAAACAGATCTCATTGGGGTTTGCTACTCCATCCCCTAAATATAATAAAGTTTATTTATTATTTATAAGAATCCAGTATGTTGGGTTTATTTATAGGTATGTATAGGACCTTGAGTCTTCCATGCAATATTATCTCAATTTTTTATCAAAGTTAAAAGTTAGTCTTCTTTATTTATCTTGGACAATGAAAACTAGTTGCTTATAGTTCTTTACATTCTTAGGAGAAATTATACTGACACACGAAGAACTTGAAACATGATAAAACCCCAACAGAAGACATTTGAATCAGCGTGTGAGAAAACCTAACCGCCATTAATTGTAAGATTTATATTTGAAAGCTTGGGACACAATTGTATTCCGTAAAATATTCTCGTGTGCCTTTTGAAAGAGATGTTTTAAGCTTTTATGAAGTTCTCATATAACTCTTTAACTCCTTTTACCTGGTCGTAACATTTCACCAGAGATCACATTTTGAAATACTGGATTTTAATGTATTCTGTCAAATAACTTTATCTGGTCACAACATTTTACCATTCATCACATTTTATAAATATATCATGCTAATTACGTTTATATTTTCAGCTACACAGCTAGTAGATGAGCAAGAAATAAACTGTATAACTAAAGACTTGATTTCTGTGTATGGGGTGGCGTATAAACAATACATTGGTTAAAAATATGCAGTTCTATTGTTCCGACGCTGAAAATTAAATTGAGAAGACGCTAAAAGCTGAAAAGTGCACACCTGGGACCCAGAGACCTCCGAGAAGATCATCTGTTCTAATCAGACCACAATACTCCTTCACCTCGTTCTGGGTCAAAATTCTTAATAAATAAATAATTAATGAATTAACGAATAAACTAATGAACGGACGAACAAACGAATGAACAAACGAATACACGAGTACACGAGTACACGAATACACGAATACACGAATACACGAATGAACAAATGAACAAATGAACAAATGAACAAATGAACAAATGAACAAATGAACAAATGAACAAATGAACAAATGAACAAATGAATATATGAACAAATGGACAAATGAACAAATGAATAAATGAATAATAAATGAATAAATGAATACATGAATACATGAATACATGAATACATGAATAAATGAAAAAATAAATAAATGAATAATAAATGAATAAATGAAAACAAAAATTTAAATTGAATAAAAGATATTAAAAGGGTCATACTTTGATTCTAATCCGAACTGAACACTGGCAGCTTTCATTCTTTTATACTGAAACATTCTATCCTTCTTCTTTGCTACATACAAGCTTCCACAGGTTTTAAACCCTGTATACCATCCCTTATCCTCCAGCTTTCTGAACAAACATGGTAAAATAAATCTAAACAAAATTCTTTAATTTTCAATTTATTTTATTTCTATTATTATTATTGATTTATTTCGTACACAAAGATAAAATGGAAAAATATTATAAAAAAATTAAGTATTATTATTATTATTATTATTAACAATGAACCTACAGAAAAAGTACGATATCCTATATAATAATATAATAAAAACACGGTCGATGAAAAAATATTTTAAAAAATTATTATTTCAACATAAATAAAATGATGTTATTTGCAATTTTAGAATAAAAAATCGCTAAATAGGTGGGTCTTGATACATTACGGATACCTGTAAAGATCTCTGGAGATTATTGCTATTCTTGTTTCTATGGCTGATGGTTTAAGGATACCCATGAGACCGGTTGCGTGGGTTGAGGTTCCACCTCCCAGCTCTCCTTGCTCCAGGAGTAAAACTCCGTCTCCCCAACCATACTCCGCTAAAACATTAAAAAGATCTTGGAGGTCTTGTTCAATGATCGAATCTTAAAAAAAATTAATGTTGTTCCCATCAATACATAATAAAATAAAAATGATGATTGCAGTCCATCCACCATCTTTCCTTCGAAATCCGACTTGAGCTTCCTTCCAAATTCTCTTTAAACAACCATAAAAACAAACAATACTCGGGCTGATTGTGAGTTTAAGGTAGGAGTCAATTCATGAAAGTCTGTCATAAGCCCTTCTGTATACTCTCTACTATTGTGATTTGAGCTAAAAATAGGGTACTAACATTGTTTGAGCTTTTTACCCTGCTTCGACTCATGTGACCATTATAGTGAGATATTTTACGTGTAAACCCCCATTCCATGCAGATCAAAGTGATGAAAAATCTATTGTTCTCTACCTAGTTTATAAGCTATAGCTGCTCCTTGAGCCCCTCCTCCACATATCACAACTTTTGCTTTAGCAGGCAGTTCCTTACATGTCGGTCTTCTAGAGACAAGGAAATAAATTAGGTGAAATATGAAAAAATGTAGTTGAACATTAAAAAACATTAGTTGAGTTTTTTTTTACAAGCTTTTGAATTATGTCGGAGGTGCGCTAACCTGATTTCACTGGCATTCTTCAGATCATCTCTACTGTTACAGGCTTGAATATAGGTACTCAGCGTTCTAATAAAATATTACTGATAAAACTAAAGAAGATAAAAAGCAGATAAAAAGTACCTTGTTTGTCTGGCCTGGCATGGTGTAGTTTTAATAAAGTGCAGAACACTTAGTCGGGGCATTTTTATTGTCTAAACATGTCTGAAAAAAAATAATTAACAATATCAACAAAGATTCAAATCTCTTAAGATGGTTTGATTATTTAACAAAAGCTGAGAAGTCAGGTTTCATCGGAGAGACTAGTTTAGGTTCAAGTTCTCTATCTGTATCCGTGTCTGAGCTGAGTTCACCAACCCGGAGAACTTTGAAAGATTCGTTCTGATCTTCATCATCTTCCATCAGCTTGGAGACAGCAGCTGGTAATCCTGTAGCAAGACATTGATTGAATTGTGAATAATTGTATATTATCTAAAATCAAGACCAATTATTATCAAATCAAGAAGAAATCTCCTTTTTTATGGGTCTAGTGGTTGGCAAATGATTTAGATTTATTTGTTAATTTAAAAGTTTAAGGTTTGGGTTAAAAGTCTCAGCAATTTTAATTTGGCTTTCCACAGATCAAATATAGAATTAAGGGGATGGTGGAGATGTCATATTTGATGTAGGGGGGGNCTAATTAATGATTGAAATTCCTAAAGTAAAATAAAATTGAATTTTAATGACCTCTAATGACCACTAATGACCTACACAAATAAAAAAATTTCAACTATGGCTTTATGCATATCAAACGAAAGCTAGGAACCCAGGAAACACAGTGGTAGCAACGAATCCAGTGTTTGGCCATCTTATGACCTCTATTGACCTAAAATTACCTACAATATAAAAATGATTTAACTATGGCTTTATAGTCAAGGTCAAACACTGGATTTGTTGCTGCTACTGTATTCCCTTGGTTTCTAGCTTTCAATTGATATGCATTTTCTAGCTTTCGTTTGAAATGCATAAAGCCATAGTTGGAATATTTTCTATTTGTGGAGGTCATTAGAGGTCATTAAAATTCAATTTTATTTTATTTTAGGAATTTCGATCACTAATTAGGCGTGCAGCCAAAAAATTGGAAGATTTAAACCAAAAATGAAGGCAGGGCCCCCCCCCCCCCTACATTAAATAGGACATCTCCACCATCCCCTTTTGAATTAAAAACTTGACCTGGAAACCGTTTAATCTTCCTTGAATAAGGTTTACTTGTGATTCTCCTGCATCCGCCAGGAACAAAACCTTCAGAATCACTGGTCTCGAGGTTTGAACCAATGAACTCCTTAGCTTCAGCCCTAAGCAGTGAACAGTTGTAGATGATTTAAAGATGATTTAAGTTTAAAATTTAAGTTCGAGTCCTCACTGAACATTAGTTGTTTAACATAAACATGTACCAGACTTGAGCCTAGCTGTTATATAATACATCAATCATTTACACCCTAACTGCCTAAAATGGACTGTAAGTGTAATTTCAAGTGACCCCCTATGCAAATAATAATATTATTTAGAAATGCCCGGCTTACAACGGTACCCTCCTTGCAACTAAAATCTGATAAAAAACGTGAAAGATAGTCATTTTCCTGACTGGAAAAGTGTTTTATTCCCTTATAGTTTTCTCATTTATTCTTAAGCAATAAATGCGCAAGTCACTTTTGCAGAGAAACTGTAAATGAAAATTAACAGTTTCAAAAACAGAGACATGGATATCTATTATCTGATTCATACTTGATCAGACAAAGCTTTATAGGGAACCATTTTAAATTGGACATTGCATGCAACTTTGCATAACATGGTCAATATTACGCTGACAGTTCTTTTTTTTGGATAAAGGATGGTTGCTTACGTTTCTTTACCTATATGTGAACTTTTAATAAAAAAGATTAAATAATAAGATAAAATTTCAAACAAAATAAACCAAAAAAGAAAACTAAATACAATTTATTTGAAATTTAAATTCATAACAAGAAACAAAGTGAGTATTACTTTACTACTGGGTGCCCCAGGAAACTTTACAGTAGAAAAACGACTTGTTGCGGTCGTCTTTGATTTTTGAAATAATTTGCGGCATTTATTCTTAAACCATATTTTGGAAGTAAAATTTTAGAGTTAACAATCACAAAATTCCCCAATCCTGGTATTTTCAAAATGAAGTCTGCCTTTTTTGTACTTTAAATATTACCGGAGACACCCAAGTAAAGTTTTGTGGGACACCCTGTAGATGACCATGTCCCAACTATAATATGAGAGGAAATCTCCAGAAAGGGTCGGTTTTTTATACCTTATCGAATCTATATCTTGGAGGGGCACCTTCTCTTTCTGTTTAATGAGCTCCTGACCGTTCTCTACCTCCAACCTTGTTAAAACAGCGGCAATTGGTTTCTTAAATACTCCTCGATCCTTCCTAGCTCTAGCTTTACTCTTCAGCTTCACCTCCTGTAGTAGATTAGACTATATGCACAATCACATTAAAAATTCTGGCTGCTTTGAAAAGTTGCATCAATTTGCAAGACTGGGTCGACTTTAATGTGTCGCAACACCTTGGCTTTGATTTTACTTCACTTTTGCTTTTGCTTTAAAGAAGTAACTGGCAAACCTTTCATCGATTTACTGTGAATGTATAATAATTTAAACATAAATCTTATAAATCATTTTACGAATTTATAGATTTTTCTCAAAAATAATCGCCTATTTTTCTCTGCAAAGTTCAATTGTTTAAAACTTTATTTTTGAACTATGAAGGGGGAAACGGATACTAACAAGAGTACAATCACTACAATAGAAGGAGAATTAGTAGAGAACGGATACTAACAAGAGTACAATCACTACAGTAGAAGGAGAATTAGTCGAGAGAACGGATACTAACAAGAGTAAAATCACTACAATAGAAGGAGAATTAGTAGAGATAACGGATACTAACAAGAGTATAATAACAACAGTAGAAGGAGAATTAGAAGAGAACGGATACTAACAAGAGTACAATCACTACAGTAGAAGGAGAATTAGTAGAGAGAACGGATACTAAGAAGAGTACAATCACTACAATAGAAGGAGAATTAGTAGAGAGAACGGATACTCACAAGAGTAAAATCACTACAGTAGAAGGAGAATTAGTAGAGAGATCGGATACTAAGAAGAGTACAATCACTACAGTAGAAGGAGAATTAGTAGAGAGAACGTATACTAACAAGAGTACAATCACTACAGTAGAAGGAGAATTAGTAGAGAGAACGGATACTAAGAAGAGTACAATCACTAAAATAGAGGGAGAATTAATCGAGAGAACGGATACTCACAAGAGTACAGTCACTACAATAGAAGGAGAATTAGTAGAGAGAACAGATACTAACAAGAGTACAATCATACACCAATAATTTGAATGTCTACTATTTTAACATTAATTCATTTTTAAACACCTTCTACAGTTCACTTATATTTAAATTGTATTGATTAGACTGTACACTGTACACTAATGTTTAAATAAAAGTACAATGAAACATAAATAAAACCCTGATATGTGATATCTACAACCCTAGCGGTACACTATTATTTGAAAATGTACACAATATGATAAATTACTAACATGATAGTTGCACTTTAACATAAAAAATAACAATGTACACACTAGAAAATTACTAACCTGAGTAGTGAGGATATTGAAGCATAAACATGTACTACAAGCTGGGATAAGTTACTATCATGAGAGTATATACACTGTAACTTAAAAATGTATCCAGTACACATAAGGTTAAAGTACATACCTGCCAGTAGAGTACATTGAAACGGAATTATATACCTGCTATAATAAAAAACAGAAACTCGAATGTGGACAGTGTTTACACTAAGATAAGTTACTTACCTGCGGTACAAAAAAATCATAGTCATGTACTAAATAAGTACAGAAGCAAATAACCTGACAGTACACTGAAACTTTGCACCAAGATGAAAGCTGTTGATATGTTGCTTGAGATTCCGAAGAAAATAGAAGTATCTGGGACAAAGATATTTAGGACAGTGCAGAACAGGACGTTCCTCGTCATGAATCTGTCTATGCATCTTCATGTATCTCCGGGAAAACTGCTTCTCACATTTATCACATTGAATCAGCTCAGAAGCTAAAAGTAAAAATCTATTTAAAAAAGCTTTATCGTGTTATGTACAAGCAACACGCAGACACCCTCTTTATTGTTCTTTTTTGGCAATTATTTTGAACCAATCAATTTTCTTATAAATGTAATAGAAGTTGACAAATTTAAGATGAAGGAATTGAATTTTTGCAACAAATTCTTATTTGCTAATCCCTATATCTTTGCAACCTGATGTTGTAAACCTTTGATATTTATAACTTAGATTATTTGATCTAACAGAATACAAATATCTAAAGTCTACGAGATTGGGGTGCAAAGATAAAGAAATTAGGAAATCAGAGTTTACGGCACAGACTCAATTCCTTTGAAAACATTGATAAGAAGGAATAAAAAAGTGATGTTTTAATCATTAATTTGATCTCTTTGAATACAAGTTCGATACATATCAGTCTTCAGGTGTGTCAATTTATCTGTATATAAATTTGGCTTGTCTGTCTGTCTGTTTGTTTGTTTGTATCCAATAAACGTCAAAACGGCTGAACCGATCGGGCCCAAATTTTTTGTGGGACATCACGTGACCACAGGGAAGGTTTATGAATGATAAAAGTTTTTAAAAAAATGAGTTTTAAAGGTTTTTAATTTTGTAAAAAAATTAAATTCTTGAAAATCCGCGAATTTTTTTTTTAAATCCGCAACATTTTTTTCTTCTTTGTTTTAAAATGTAAACAAAAAGAATATGTTCACAATTTAAATAGAAGATGGGTGCGAAGCGCCCTAAAAGCCTAGTAAATACAAAAATCTTTAAATATTTCTATTATAGGGTTTATTTACCTCCTGGTTCCGCCAAGTGAGACTTCTTATGCATCAACAGATCACTCCATTTCTCCATGAGAACATCACACTCATCACATTTATATCCGGCATGGGCCCGTTTATGTTTCTTTAATTTAGACTGAGACGTGAAAGTTTTCTCACATTGAGTACAAGACCAGCATTCCGTTCCTTCTCCGTGAACAGCTTTATGAGCTTTAAGAAGTCGATGCTTGCTAAACCCTTCATCACACTTATCACATTTAAACCTGTCATCGTCGTGGCTTCTCTTAATGTGCTTCTGCAAATTGTGTTTAAGTGTGAAAGATTTATCACAAGTAGAGCAGATAAAAAGTTCTGGAAGAGGTTTAGTTTTAGCGTGGTTTGTGGAAATGTGTCGTTTTAAATGAGCATTTCTTGCGTAAGATTTATTACACATTTCACATACAAACGGCCTTTCTCCTAAATTGTAAATATCATTTAATTTTATTGCACATGGATACATTAGATAAAACAAACAAGACAAGAGGCCTAGTTAGGGAGGGGGGACTCAATCCTCACCCCTGAACCAGTGATATCTTCATATTTCAGGGGTTTTTAGGCCCCAACGGTTGCTGAGCCCCCCCCCCCTGAAATGAAAAAAATTCCAGACTACCCCCTTGAAACAAGAAGTAGTTGTTAGATAGTTTCCATCTCAATTCAAGAGATTTTGACACATGTTGGAAAAAACATAGTTTATTAAATTTTAAGGGAATTTCATAACTGTCATAGGAAGTAATACGAAAAAGAATAATTAATTAAATAAAGAAATAATCGCTTCATCTTAAATTGAACCTAATAATGTAAAATAGAAATAGTTCCGATTTCTTATTTTAATTACGGTTCATCTATCTTTCAAGGTTCATGAACAGTTTTTTTATTATGAATATAATTTACCTGTATGTATTCGGGAATGAGTTAGGAGTCTAGAAGGACGAGAGAACTGGCGATTACATCCAGGATTTTTACAAACTAAACGTTTTGATCCGGTAGTTTCATCTTTATCATCTTCTTCCTCTTCATCCTCCTCGCTCTCATCTTTATCCGAATCATTCTTATTTTTTGCTTTCTCTTTATTCATAATCTCCTGTTTGATATTGCCAACGTCATCTGTGATTTTGATGGTCACGTCGGAGAAATTAACATCAGAACTATACTTCTCTTCATCCTCAGTTTCTAACTTGAAATTGTCAGAATCCGATTCCATTTTGACAAGTCCAGGGCAAGAATCGATGAGAACAAACTCCTTGTTTCTGTTTACTGTGGAGAGGGGTTACTATTGGTTGCAGACTGGAATCTTAAAAAATATGAAAATTAATCAATTTTACAAAACAGATAATTGATTTGCATCAATTTTGGATTTTAAAACGATTCATAACTTTTTTCTGGGATTGCACAAATTCCCGACCTGATAAAATCCAAATCTGAGAATCTAAGAACTGCTGCCGGGATGACTCCAGTTGGGGTCTGAAGTTCGGCTACACCTAGCTGAGTCACGCTCCGGTCAATTTCTTCAAACCGACAGAATACCTAGATTAGAGAGTATTCATACAATATGCAGTATTCAGGGGTTCTTTTTCTGTTTACTGGCCGTTGGTTGTAGATCATGACCGATGACTTTTATTTTCTAAATAAAAAGTTAAACAAAATGTCGAAATTTTTAAGGCTGTTTAGAAAAATAAACTTACACTGTTTCCTTCTACTGTTTTAGCCTCTATTTCTCGGCCCTTGAGAACTTCTAGAAGTCGTAAAAACTCTATTCTCGTCTCAGATCTTAACTCTTGATCCTCCTAGAGTAATATAGATAATAACTCTCGATCCTCCTACAGTAATAAAGATCTTAACTCTTGATCCTCCTAGAGTAATATAGATAATAACTCTCGATCCTCCTACAGTAATAAAGATCTTAAATCTTGATCCTCCTAGAGTAATACAGATCTTAACTCTTGATCCTCCTAGAGTAATACAGATCTTAACTCTTGATCCTCCTAGAGTAATAAAGCTCTTATATTCTTGATCCACCTAGAGTAATAAAGATCTTAACTTCTTGATCCTCCTAGAGTAATAAAGATCTTAACTTCTTGATCCTCCTAGAGTAATAAACCTCCTAACTTCTTGATCCTCCTAAAGAAATAAAGCTCTTAAATTTTTGATCCTCCTAGAGAAATAAAGATCTTAACTTCTTGATCCTCCTAAAGAAATAAAGATCTTAACTTCTTGATCCTCCTAGAGTAATAAAAAAATAACTAAAATTTTCAATCAATTTAGGTTATAATTAGAATTTGACGCTTACCTTTAAACTTTGATCACTATCATTCCCAGCTTCATTCTTTGACATAATAACAAATAAAATCTGAAATATAAATCATTCTTAGTAAGTTCTAAAATCCTGTAAATCACCAGGGTACGATTCTTCCATCTTCCCCGGGTATTACTTCCATCTAGAGGAGCTTGACTAGACTATCAATCATTTTAGTTACTCCGTCCTGGATCTAAACCAGCCAAACATTCATCATTATATCAAAACATTTACCAAAATAAGACATAAGTCTCAAATTTGTGAAAAATATTAATAATATTTGATCATTGAGCACATTCCACGAAATAATAATTAAAATGACTGCACAAAGATACAAAAACTACCTAATTTCAAACTAATTTCAACTCAATTACAGGAAATATAAAAACTATTCGTTTTGTAAATAGTAGTTTGACGCAGTACTTGGCTTGGGTCCAAAAAGAACATTCCTATCCGTCTCAACACGAGAAATGACGCAATATTAGTAAAAAAGGCAACAATCAAAATATTCCAGAAATCGAGAACAATATAGTTTTACATGTCGGATCAACGAAAACCCTAAATCAAACATAATTTGCGTATTTCCTGAATTATCATGAGCTCATTATCTCTATATATATAAAGTTGTTATCTCTGTCTGTCCGATCATAACTCGGGAACCCCTGGACCGATTTGCCTCAAATTTTGGTTGGGGGAACTCAGTAGACACACAGAAATGTTCTTAACTTGGTTTAAAGATTCTAAGTTGAGTGGGTCGACTTTATTAGCGAAAATTTTCTCGTTAAAATCGTTCAAGTGTGGGTAAACGACGGGAGTAACTATGAGAAACCTGGACAGCGCTGGGTTCCCAAGCTAGTTTAGATAAACTACAGTGGGACCCTTAAAACAGTGGAATAGGAAGATGACTGTAAGACTAAAGTCATGATTTTAATAAATCCTATGAACATGAAACACCGCAATTGTGCAGTGTAAACAGACCCATGATTATCAAGCTATGAGTAAAACTATTTACTTTTTATCAACATCAAATACACATAATATTGCTCAAATCTCGTTTACATACTCCCCAATTCTATAGATCTCACTGAATACAAAACATTTTTAGATCTGTTATTAAACCCGCAAATCTGAGTACTAACGGATAAACCATGATACGAGTAAAATAATATATGATCCCTCAGGAATATGAGGAACAGGATCTAGACCACCATCCGTAGNCCCCCCCCCAGCCCGCCAACCACATAAACCACATAAATATGATAAATATAGTTTCCTGATGAAACTGTCCGTTGAACATGAAAGCTGGTGTACTCACAACCTTGTTCTTCTCATCTGTTACCACCTCGTCTACATTCTATACACAGGTTTATTAAAGTCAATCAATCAATCAATCAACCAAGTCTACATTCTACACAGGTTTATTAAAGTCAATAATTCAATCAACATCGTCTACATTCTACACAGGTTTATTAAATTCAATCAGTCAATCAACCTCGTCTACATTCTACACAGGTTTATTAAAGTCAATCAATCAATCAACCTCGTCTACATTTTACAGTTTTAATAAATTTAATCAATCAATCAATCATCTCGTCTACGTTCAACACAGATTTAGTAGATTTAATCAATCAATCACCTCGTCTTCATTTGACTCAGGTTTTGTAGAATAAATCAATCAATCAATCAACATCATCTACATTCTACACAGTTTTAATAAATTTAATCAATCAATCAACCTCTTCTACATTCTACTCGGGTTTAGTATAGATTCAATCAATCAATCAACCTCGTCTACATTCAACACCAGGTTTAGTAAATTCAATCAATCAACCTCGTCTACATTCAACACAGATTTAGTAGATTCAATCAATCAATCAACCTCGTCTACATTCTACACAGTTTTAATAAATTTAATCAATCAATCAACCTCGTCTACATTCTACACAAGTTTACTAGATTCAATCAACAAAACAACTTTGTCTATTTCTACAGTTTTAATAGAATTAATCAATCAATCAAACACTTCTACTTTCTACACAGATTTAGTAGACTACTTTCTACACTGATTAGTAGATTCAATCAATCGATTAACCTCGTCTACATTCTACACAGGTTTAGTAGAAAACAATCAATCAACCTCGTCTACATTCTATACAGGTTTAGTAGATTTAATCAATCAATCAACCACGTCTACATTCTACACAATCAATCATTCAATATTCAATCAATCAACCTAGTATACATTATACACAAGATATCTTTCGGGCTTATTAGATTCAATCAATCAATCAAACCCGCCTTGTCTGTATTTACTGTTCAATACGATTAAAAAAAGATTTAAAATTTTTTTTAAACTAAATTTTCTCGTGCTTTTTGTCAAAAATCAAATCAAAATAATGTGGAAATTTTGCTTCGACTCAAGTTAATCAAATGTTTTGTTTCTAAATGGAAAAAGAAAAATATGTTTTTTTTTCGAGAAAAATATAATTTGTATTTTTCTGAAAATACTGTAAAATACTATTACCTTGAGTTGCATGTTAGCGCCGAATGATTTGGCAGCTTCGATAGATCCTTGATACGGCCAATCAGACTCGGCTCCGGTGTTACCAAGGGTTAAGGTTACTCCAAACTAGTTTTAGGATACTATTTACCTCAGTGTTATTAAAACTTAGTTCACCATCTTTACAAGTCTAACTAGTTCAATTTGTAATGCGAGGCAAAAAATGCTTAATGCATTTTCATGCTCTATATTTTCTATCTAAATACGACAAAGTTATTATTTTATGCAATTTAGGCCCCTTTTTAAAAATAAAAATAGCTAACCTCTCCCAAAACTTTAGCAGCTAGTATTGGAGCAATGCAGCAGAGAGCTTGTGGTTTCCCAGCAGTATGGAATTCAGAGATTATCCGCCGAACCTACATATTTTCAGGTACAGATTGATCATTAAACAATACGCTTAATTTCCAGTGTCTTTTATACATAGATGGCAATGCCCGACTCACAACGGTACCCTTGAAACTGCAAATTGCAAATTTTGAGCTTTCAAAAATTGCAGACTGGTTCAAACTGACATTAAATGCCTCTAAAACAAAGTTTAAACTTTTCAGAAAGAAAACAAAAGTTCTGATAGGTGACCCACTTAAACTTTTCATCGAAAATAAGGAAATAGATAGAATAGGTCCTGGTTGTAAAACTGAATCCTTTAATTATATTGTTATGCTGCACCTCGGTCGCTCTAAATTTAACAAGTAATCCCTGACTTCTTGTAAATTTTCAAAACCTAGTAATATTCATCATATTGTAAACGTTTTAATATTAATTAGGTGGCGATAATACCCAAAACAACGAAAGATAATCTTCACCTTATATTGCTATAAATATTAGTGCAATTAAACATTAGTGCAAATGAACATTTCCAACAAATAATTTGTTCAAACTGATTAATGTTTTTGTTCTTTAAATAACTATAATTTATAGGCAAAATGGTGAAATTTTAAATTTTAGTTCGATTGAACTTTTTTTGTTCATTTGTACTAATTAGGTTCAATGTGAAAAATGGTGACATTTTAAATTTTAGTTCGATTGAACATTTTTTGTTCATTTGCACTAAAATATATTTATTTGTACCAACTTCGTTTTTACCCACACTTATAGCTTTAGTACATTTGAACATTTTTGGTTCATTCCTACTAAAATATGTTCAATGGAGCTAATTAATTAAATGAGCCGAATTCCACAAAAATTTAAAAAGATAGTTTTCCCCGTGCTCAAAAATCTTTCACGCGTATTTTAGTTTGACGCACTATGGTGCGAATGAACGTTAGTACGAATGTACGTTAGTCAGATCAATCATTAGTGCAAACAATATTTCACCAAACTGCCTACCTGAAATATATATAATATAAACAACCAGTGCTAATTGAGGTGAGCCGAGAGTTTATGCTCGCATATTTGTATCAAACTTGACTGGACTCCAATATGTAAAATGAACACATGGGTACCGTTGGGTACTTGAAATTACGCTTACAGTGCCTTTAAGCCAATTGGGCTTACTTTCAGCTTTCATGAAGAAATAAAATACCCAATTCGAATTCTGTATTTTCTGCTTAATTTCAATTCAATTTATGTAAAAATTGCTCAAAAAAAGATAAATAATGAAAAAGTCTTAAGATACCTCAGGATCTACATCCATATCTGCTCCCTGAAAAAAATATTTATGAATAAATCTTGAAAAAAAACTGTTGTGGTTGTTAAATCAAAATTAGTTTGAGCTTTTTGTATCAGATATCATGGATTCAAACTACGTTGCAAACAAAACCATTAAGTGCCAAATTTCGTTAACTTAAGATTTTACCAGTGATATTAAAACAGTTGAACAAAAAAAAGATATCAAATTATAAAATTTTACTAATTCATTATTAATGAAGTGGAATCACATCGGTGAACGCGTATTAGAAGACACAGAAAGAACGAGTGAATACATTTCAAAATTATTTCACTCAAAACTATAAATGAGTTCCCTACTTTGAATCCGAAATCGGAGAGATTTTTAGCAGCTCCGAACCCGCCTGGAAACACTACAGCGGATACATCTCCAGGTTTTAGCTCGGATAGAGGAGAAACTGAACCTCGAGCAATCCGGGCAGATTCTTTTAGTACATTTCTCTCCTAGCGATGGAGTACATTATCATTCCTTAGATTTTTTTTATAATATATAAGTACAAAAAAAATTGGATACGAAAAGGCAAGCTTTTATCTCACACTTTTTTTAACTTTTCACCCGAAAGTTCATTTGAAAAAGTAAACATATGCAATGCATGTATTGCATACTGCATAAAGAATTTGTACATTTACTATACATTTCTAAAATAAATGGTAAAACTTAAGATAAAAGGGTTAATACAAAGTATTTGATGCACTCTAAATTTTCATGAAATCTTTAAAAAATCTTTGATATAAAATGTTTGGATAGATAATAATATATTCCTGATCCATCTCAGATCCAGCAGTATGATCTATTACATGTGCTTGCTTCTTGTCAGGAGCAAACCTAGAAGAACTCTGTGTTGAGAAAATAGGTTCTGAAGAAGGAGGTTTAGCTCCGTGTTTAAATAGTTACGAAAAAACGTTCTGAAGAAGGAGGTTAAGCTCCGTGTTTAAATAGTTACGAAAAAACGTTCTGAAGAAGGAGGTTAAGCTCCGTGTTTAAATAGTTACGAAAAAGAGTTCTCAAGCAGGAGGTTTATAGCTCAGTGTATAATAGTTAAGAGAAAAGTATGTACAGCTTTCTAAATGTTTAAATATATCTACGAGAAAATAGATGTTTATTCTTCAAATAGCGCTACAATAAAATAGGTACTTCAATGGAAAGGAAAGGAAGGGTAGAGCTGTTACAAAATATGGAAGGTGTATTTCCGTGTAAAAATGGACCTGCAACACAATATATGTTTTTAAATGGAAGGTTTTAGCAACATGTCAAAAAAGAACTGCAAGGAAATAGGTTTTTAATTAAGAGGGTTTAGAGCTGCAAGAACATATTCTAAAAAATGAGCCGTGTCTAAATACAATACAAGGTCTAAAAAAGGGTATCTCCTAGAGCTTCAAGGCTACAGGACAGGTTCTTACATGAGAGGGGTAGCCCCATGTCTAGATAGAGCTGCAAGAACAGCTGCAGCTTCATGAACCTCTGTACCATCATAAACACCACAACCAGACAATACAACAGCAACCTAAATACCAAACCAAACTTTCACCATATCAATTCAGAAGATCAATCTTTTAATTTCAAGGAAATACAAAAATTTGTCTTACTTTGAAAGGGTGACATTAAAACAATATAAAATTATGATTATCGAAAACATAAAGATAGAAATCTGCTGGTTTTACTTTGTAATCTCTTCGTAACAGAACTCACTATATTTTTCTGAAGATATTAGATAAAAAAATGATTATCGTCGAAAAAAGTATTTTACTTTCGTTACTCGACTCGAGTTTTCAAATGATTGAATCTATTTTTGATTATTTAAAGTTCATGCACTTTACAGTTCACCATGCAGAACTGTAGTTAATTGAATTGTACTTCAAGATCTGTAATATAGAACAAAAGAGATAAACAAACCGTTCGGCTCTGATGTAGCTAAAATTTTTTTCAAACCCTTGTACAACATACATTATTGGATAAAAATTGACTTGCAAGATTTGGATTCCTTGTGGCCAGCAGCAGACGCCATAGCTGCAGATAGAATAGCTCCGGGTCCAAGGTTTACAGAGAGGAGTCCTGTTCTCAACCCAATCTTCAACCCTTGCATTTGTCTCTGAAACTTGGAAAACAAAATATTTATCAGAATGTATTTTCAACTCAACAAATATAGTTCACATAAATTCTTTTCATGTTTCATTCTTGATCTGATTTCTCTGCGCCACGGCTGTCTTCTCCGGGTTTAGTTTCATATTTGATCTCTTCAGGTTTAGAGGACGTTGATCTTTCTTGCTGATCCGAGATATCATTCCTAGAGCTTCCGGCTGATATTTGAGGGTCTAAATTATCTTCACTCGGACTTTTCCCTTCCCTCTCTTCTTTTTCCTCCCTGGATCCTCTCCGCTCTCGTTGAATCTTTAAAGCTTTGCTGATATTTTCTCTTGTATTGTACCGATGTCCAGAGACACCATCTTGACCCCGTCTCTCTATAGGATCGGATTTATTCTTCCTTGACGGACTTGTTTCTCTGCTCTCTTCGGGACTTGTTTTCGGACTTTCCTTTCTAATTGTCCTGCTGCTAAATCTTCCCATTCCTGGTCGGTAAATCTGCATATCTGGTCTTTCCTTATTTCGTTTTGCCTTCAAATCCCGTTCTCTTCTTCTCTCCATCCTTTCTTCTTTTTCCTTCTCTCGCCTTTCCTTCCGTTCCTTTTCTCTCTTCTCCGCGGCTTCGTCTTTCTCTTCCTCATCTAAATGAACCACTTCGACCTTTCTTGGTAATATTTCTACCTTCGTAACCTCTAGTTCATCTTTATTATCTTTAGTTTCAAAACTAGATTCCTTTTCTTGTTTCTCGGAAACTTCGGAACAATCTAGAACTTTGGACTTTTTTCTCAGTTTTTCCAGTCTCTCCCGTTCCTTCCGTAATCTTTCCTCTTTTCGTTTATCCGAGTACCGCTTAGGCTTAGATGAAGTTTCTCCTGTAGCAGTGTCAGGATCAGGATCATATTCAGGTTCCGTAGGTTTATCTGGCTTTGATGAAATCTCCATCTCCTCAATAACCTTGTCTTCGCTAACATCTTTTTCTCTTTCCAGCTTGTATTTCTCTCTTTTCTCATCGCGTCGCCTTTGCCGCTCCTCCTCCTTTCTCCTAAACCTTTCCTTTTCTCTCTCCTCACGTTCTTTTTTCTTATCTCTGTCCAATCCTCTTTTTTCGCGGATTTTTCGTTCTTTCTCCTCGTAATAACTTTCGTCTTTCTTTGAATTGTTCTCCGTATCTTCTTTTTCCTTGTAATCTCTGCCACGTTGTTCCCTTTCCTTAAAATCTCTCCCTTTGTAATCTTTATCCTTATAATCTTTCTCCTTGTAATCCTTTTCCTTGTAATCCTTTTCCTTGTAATCCTTCTCCTTGTAATCCTTCTCCTTGTAATCTTTTTCTCTATCCCGGTCTCTCCTTTCCCGATCTCGAATTTCCTTTTCTCTCAATTCCTTCCTTCGCTCTCTTTCCTCCTCGTGTTTCTTTTTCCGATCTTCGTCTCTTTTCCTCCTGGTTTCCCTTTGATCCTCTCTCTTCTTGATTTTCTCGTCCTTCCTCTCTTTCATAAATTGGATCAAGGGCGTGGTTTGATTCTCCAGTCCGCGTCCAGCTGAAATAAAACCCTTTTAAATCCATCTTTCTTTATCAATGTCACCATAATTATACTAATCAATAAACAGGAAAATATTTAACTCAGCAAGGATTGTTCTAAACCTTTAATGAAAAAATTCAAAGCAATTTTTAAATTTTAAATGTTGCTAAAGTTGTCCAGATAATTATTGATAATGTAGTCGACAAATTCTTAAAGAAAAATTAACTATTTCAAGAGAGTGGAGATCATTTTAAAATCAAATATTTTCGTTAATCTTAAAATTATAACTAATTTTGTTTAAAAAGTGGACAACACATATTCATTAGTATAAAAACAATTAAAGAGGTGTTTGAAATTAATAATTTCATTAAAAGGAATATATACCTTTAATCTCTCGTTCTTTAATCTCTATTTCCTCTAAAACCTGCTCAATTGTTGGCATCCCAATCTAAATAATTTATATTGCATCAAGAAATGCATAAAACATTTGTCTATTAAACTAACCTTATAGAATTGTTTTGTTTAATTGATGTAATGGTTTGAAGTAAAACAGTACAGTATACAGTATTAAGTTACACGAACCTCAGGTGGATTTTCCAGGTTCTCTTTAAACCTGAGATAATCTGGGTCCTGTTCCAGACTGTTCAGTTTGGGATCCTTTCTCCGGTTCTCCTTCCCGGACGGAATCTTCTGGTTCGGAGCAAACTCAACAACTGCCGTGTGTTCGTTTCCTTAAAAAAAGACAAAATGATTCTCCCAAGAGGGAGGAGGGTTATAAAAATTCTAAAAATCTTTAAAGGGACTGTAAGCGTAATTTCAAGTGACCCTCCATGCAAAGATTTAAACCATATTTTACCTAATTTACTCTATATATTTGTTTAAATTTATCTTTAAACCGTTGAAAAGCAAGTTTCTACCTTTTTTATCGACAAAAACATATCCGTCGAATCTCTCCTGGAACACAAATATATCGTCAGGATTGACGAAGTTGATGTAAGCTCTTGTAGCGGCATCTTGCTCAAAACTATAATCAGCTTTCACGAACCTTGAACATTTAAAATAAAATAGAAAAGTTAACAATGACAGTAAACATAATGATAATAATGATAACAATGATAATAATAACACTAATAATGATAATAATGACCTAAAATAATTATGTTCCGGTACAGGATCTATACAGTTTAAAAACTCCGTCTCAGTCATGCTCCAGGGTAGACGCCGTACAACAATCTACAAAAATACTTATCATTTTAAACATTTACCAGGGGGGAACTTTTCAATTTACTCTTAAATCTGGACTCCTGCACTCTGACATTTTCCCCCCCTCGATGGTTCCATCATCCAAATTTACAATGCCAATAATCTGCAAAAAAAGACTTAATAGTTTAGTCGCTAAACTAAACGCTATTCTGTACAAACGTTCTTTCAAGAAAATAAACTTTCTAATAATTTTTCTAAATAATTAGTTAGTGTGAGTGAGATCTACGGATCTTTTAATTCTTGATGTTCAGGTTGAATCTGAAAAACCTGTTTTGAAGAAGCACACGAAGATATGCTCGATTATCTTTCTCTGTTCCTTGCTCTTATATTCTCCACCACATACAAATAATTGTGTTCTAAATATAACCTGAGAATTTTATTCAGAGCTTAACTAAAGTTTTATATTCTCAAGCCTAAAAAGTTCTTTTATACTGCCTAAAGATGTAAATTAGGAAAGCCTTTCATTAAAAAGTTATTACATGATCTTTATATTTCAGACCACAATGGGCTAGGATAACTGCGTTATCTAGTCACATCGCTCCAGGTTGTGCATAGGTTTATAAAACAACCTTTCTAAATGTAAATGCTGTCGAAAAACCATTCTCTAGATTTTTATGGATGTTCTATAAAAGTGAATTCAGAGCGTTTCTTGTGTTTCACCACCTGACCAGAACAATAAACTTATGAATTAACAGGTGAAAAAACATTCTAAAATGGCTTAGAACTCTGAAGTTCTTTCGAGATTAATTACAACTCCTGATGTATCTCTTAGATTAAGTCCGATCCGATCCACCCTTCGCCAACTCTAGAGCTATTAAATCCTGACCTAATCAACTTTGTAAGAGTTACTTTAATTTATATATATTGTTATAACTAACTCACATTTAGCACACATGGAGAAAAATTTCATGTAAACTTGGCAAATTTTAAATAATTTTTATAATAACTTAACATTAATCTAACCCGTCTAACCAGTGACTGATTAATTTTTTCTTCAGTTGACGGGTCTGAGCTCGGTATCCCTGCCAGAAATAAATAAAATAGGAGACTCATGTGAATTAAAGAGGTGCGCAATGGAGAAGTGATGTTGCCCCATCATGTTAATAGCTGACTAATACCTGTGGATCTAGGTATCATATTCTGGGAATATGCTAATTTTCCCGAAACGGACACAGTAAGCCTACGCTTATGTTGATTGCAATTTTTTTCGATATTTACGGTTTTTTATTTATCTAACGCTTTAATTTTTTAGCCAATTTTTTATCTTTAATATTGTCTAAATTTTTACTTCTATAAACGGTACACCCTGAAAGCTAAGTTTAGAGTACTATGATTATAACTTTGTATATTTTTGTAATCTAAGTGAATTTCCAGAATACAGGGATTCATTTTTTAAATATCCCCTTTTACAAAAAAAAATTTTGGTGGGGTTTTATTCGGTTAATTATAATAAAGACTTCAAATGAAACTTTGAGTAAAGAGAATCAAAAAGAGTGGAAAATTTAATTTTTCTCTGCTTATTAATCTGAGTTCTAAATATAGATAATTTTTTTAATTTAAATGGATTTTTTTATTTAGACTCTCCTTAGCAATGTTATATTAGTTTCTTTAAGATTTTTACTTTCGAGTTGAATGTATTTTTTTTCTTATCCTTTCCTCTCTCTTCTCCTGTAGTCTCCTTATTATTCTCCTCCATTCCCATCCTTCTGAAATAGAAGTATAAAAATAAACAATTTGTAAAGATAAAAAAAAAATTTATGGGGAAAAATTTATAGTTCCAATATTCTGATTTTAATTCATTTTCAGTTAAAGAAAGAGAAATTTAGGACTCTTGAGTCCTTGACGTATAAAAGTTTTGAAAATTTACAATGAAATTACAAAATTAGCAAAATTACTCAAAAAAAAATAAAAATGCAATTTTTTGCTTTAAAATATGCACATTAATTTTGTACAAGTTCACACGTAACTGACGATACAATAATATATTTTTTAGAATTTAAATAAACTTTAGTCTCTTTTTACAAAGGTTGCATTAACATTTTACATAGTAGAAGCCATAAGAATCATATATTTTTGAGCAAACTTACCGTTTGTTTAAAATAAAAATCAACAACAGGCTTTTAAATTTAGCATTAGAAATATCAAGAAAAAATGTGAACAAATTACATAAGCTCTAACACGAATCTTACTTCATATTCTCTTAAAAAAAAAACTTTTCTTTCTGAAGAAAAGGAATTACGAATTGTAGAACGGATTAGTCAAGCAAATTCTCATTTCCAATAAATGCAGTTCAGGCCGCGTCCCAAAGCAGTAAGATAAACAAATAAATAGGAGAACTCGCTCTCCACTAAAACCCACTATTTCTTTGGTCAGAATATTGCAAAACACTGCAATACACGCCAAAAGTTTAGTTGAGGGTGGACCAGACTAACCAGACTTGATAAGTTGAGATTTGATCCGGTTTAAAAATGTTAGATGCGAAAAACTAAATTCTTGATATTTGAACCAAAAAAAAGTGCAAATTTTAATTTGAAATGAATTCACTTGGATTTTAATACCGGCTTAAATGAACTTTTTAACATGCTTTATTACCATACATCAAAAGAAAAAATCAATTCTTTACGCCCCGTGGTTTTAAAAGACTCTTTTAGGATACGCGATTCGCAAACCTTCTCCAGCTGTTCAGCAATTAAATCTTAGTTAAGTTACATAAAATAAATGAAAACACATCTTTTATATGTTTGTGTATTGAATTTGGTGACTAGTTGATACAACTTTATAAGCGACAAAAATCGGAAAACAGAAAACCCCAAATATGTTGAGTAAGTGCAGTAAATAAACAACTTGGACGAAGTACTTACTCAAATTGGGAGATGGGGGGGGGAGGAGGGGAAACATAGTTTGACCAAAGATGAAATATCCGCTATTTCATTTTGTTCACAATCATAGAATGCAACAATTTTCAGTTTAATCTCTAAGAAAAAGAGCAGGATGAGTAGCTTGAGAAATACTAATAGTAATCTGACTGGAATGAATGCCAAGGTGTGTTTGCTCCGGCAGCTCCGTGTAGTGCAGCCATCTGAGACTCCAGACTATCCAGTGCTTGATCTTGAGGTTGATCTTGATCTTGAGATGTTAGAGCTGAGATATCCAGGGTAGATGTACCCCCAGATTCCCAGGGTTTAACAAAATTGTTCTGAGCTGTCAGAGATTCTACAAAACAAACCCATTTCTAAACCGGCTCAACTTTCAAAATAAGTTTTTTTTCCTGTAGATTTTAGATATAATCTTATTAAGTTTACGTGAAAATATTGTCACAATCTAAAAGAATCATATTCTGTAAAGCAGCAAAATGAAAAGAGCTCAATGCAATTTCAGGTTAATCCAATGCATTGCTTTTTAAAATGATTAAAAAGATGAGTTAGATTACGATTGGAAAAAGGTTTCCCTGAGCTGTGTGGATTAGACACGTTTTGAACTAGATTGCAAGAACTAGGTTTGTGACTAGGTTCAATATCAGGCTGCGGAGTAGGATCAATATAGGAGGCTGGAGAATGTTCTCCTACAGGTTCTTCTTCGAGATGTTCAGTACCTCCTTCCACTCTTGGATTGAGGTTATCTCGTTGATCCTCTTCTTGCAGAAGGCCTCCTTCACTAGCTAGCTCACCTTGATGATGACCTCCTTCTCCAGTTCTAGCATCCAGAGGATGGTCACCTTCAACAGTATGCGCTTCTTTAGAATAACTACCTTCTCTAAGATGTGTATCATGATGATTAACTTCATAACTAGATCTACTAAAAATGTTTTCTATCCGTCCTTCCTGTTCTTTATCAGGTTGGTCCTGAGCATTGTTATAGCCTTGCTCCGGGTCCTTGCTTTGGCTTTTAGACTGACAATCTTGCTTGGATACAAGGACGGATTCCTGCTCAGCTGTCTCTAAGCTTTCCTAAAATTGTAATTAAAATTTCATTTATACTAACCAGTCCAAAAGTAAGATAAATTACAAGCACTAACATCTACTTTACAGAACATAATCGAACCCCAAATATAGTGCTAAGAAGTTTGTCTGCATTTTCTTGATTGTTATGTAGGACGAACAAAGTGTAGGACAAAAGAAGAGTAGAAAAAAATATATTTCTCATACATACATATATATATATATATATATATACATATACATGGCAACAAATAATGCCCTGGAGTTAAAAGTTGAAATGAACTTTATTATGAATAATATCTTTAATAAATGTATCAACCTGCATTGCTTTTCTAATCGCTAATTCAGTTTCATCAATATCACTTCTCTCAACGGCCTCCTCGACAGCTTCAGTTTCATCTTGGAAACAAAGTATAATAATAAAAGTAGGGAGAGTTTAATTTTTAACTTTTTAACCCAAAGGGTGTAACTGTAAACCTTTAAAATTTTACACTTATACAGTTTATTTTGGTTAATTTCAAAAACTTAATTTTAATAATGTAATTCAAATTTACCAAATAGTTTCTCTTCTCCAGATCCTCTCTCAGCCTCGTATCTTTTTGCAATACTCGCCTTAAATATCAAATTATCTCGAAAAATCAGAATGTTTATTAAAATTGATTTAAGAAAATTGTTAATATTTTTCTTTTTATCCCGGCTTTAATTTAACATAATTTCAATAGTACATAGAAGATTGATTTAATTGACTGAGTTTGAAAAATACCTTAAATTTAGCATCAAGTCCGTTCAATCTTTGTCCGTTAGATTCTGAATCATTACTGTTTCCTTCGGACTGATTTATCAAATCACTGGTTGTTTTATCTGATACAGATTTCTCTTTAATTTCTCCGTCCTGACTCTGTTCTATTTCCGTTCTGCTCTCTGCTCCCAATTCACTTATTGACTTTGTCAAATCAACACTGACTTCATCAAGCACTGCTCCCAACTGCAAACAAATATTTTTTTGAATGTCAGCAAATCGAATCGAATCCATTTTGTAAATGGGAGTCACTGTTAAGCAGTATATATTACAAAATGGACTTGCAGGTGCTATGTCAAACTAGTCCGGAGATAAAAATCGGAGCCACTGGAGGCAAATTCCAAGATGTTCTAAGTAACCGGAAAAAAGATAATCTGACTTTACATTCACGAATTCAGCTTCTAGATAATCATTCAAGTTTATTTACAGTGGTAGGCGATTATATCAATACAATGAAGACAGATTTTTTATTTAAGTTTTGATTGCTTACAAGCTTCTTTTTCGAATTACAAGTTTACAATTGTTTTTTTAAGATCTAAATATTTATTCAGTGATTAAAGATTAAAGAATAATACTAATAATAATAATTTTTTAAGATCTAAATATTTATTCAGTGATTAAAGATTAAAGATTTCATAAAGTTTTACAATTATCTCAGAGAAATTTTACCACATATTAGTTTTTTTGAATTCACTAGCTGTAAAACAGAGTGTATTCTTAGAATGCCAGTGTACACGTTCACATCCTGGTATTGATTTATCTGTACTAGGAAAACAGGCATCATAGTTTCCGATTTTTTCCGTGGTTTTATCGGGACATATTAAACACGTAGTATCCTGACAAAATCCAAACATAGGATTCACAATATTGGATGGAGGATTCAGGCCAGGCGCGGGTTCAAGCTCAGGTGGAATGGTTTTAATTAGGGGTTTCAGGGTCTGCTCTAGATTAGGGTCGCATTTTTGTTCGGGCTCAGGATCAGGTTCAGGATCGGATTCAGGATCAGGTTCAGGAATAGGTTCATTTTCACCGTCTAACTGAGGTATATAGGAGGAGGGTGTAAAAGAAGTAAAAGGTTCTTTCAAGTTTACAATTGTAATCAAGATAAGCTTTATTAGTTGACAGTTTCTATTATCTTATTTCTTTATGTGCATTCATGCTCTTTAACAGCTTGACAAAAGTAAAGATTGAAATCGAAAGAAGTCTTCATTGTATTGATATAATCGCCTACCACTGTATAAAACAAGAACTAGCTATTACCAATATTGACTGGTGTATAAGAGTTAATCTTCAAATTAACTTCTTTAAATATTAGACCCGTTTATTTACTCTTTGATTTGAACACAATTAATATTCTTAGGAATTTGAAGTGTTCGTTTTGGTCGTTCTGAACTTAAACAACACAAACTCGAAAAACATTTAATATTAATACCTGGGATTTTTTAAAGGCCGCTTGTTTACATTTAAGGCTTTCTTGGTGTTTTGGTAAATCTCTAGCTTGCGATAAAACTTGTCCACAGATCTCACACTTTCCAGGTCCCTTCTGCGAACCAAGAAATTAGAATTCTTTAAATATATTTTGAAAATAAATTAAGAAGTTATCATTTCTCTGCTCTACCATCAATCAACTAAACTGTCCGTCCATTGAACCATAAATCCACTTATTTATCCATTAAGTAACCCCAAAATTCACTAAATTCATTAACTTAATTAATCAATCAATCAATCAATCATCTAATCGATTAATCAATCAATTGCGTGAACCATATCAAGAAATAAACATATTTTCTTAGTTCCTTGTAAATTTGTGCAGATCCTCCATCCACCTTGCCTGGTGTTCTCTTCTTCTTAGAACTTGGCCTAAAATTGAAAACAGTACAGTACAGTAGATTACATTACAGTACAGTACAGTACAGTACAGTACAGTACAGTACAGTACAGTACAGTACAGTACAGTACAGTACAGTACAGTACAGTACAGTACAGTACATTTCACAACTTTATCCTTACTTGTAATCATCGTCTTCATCTATTGTATACTTGGGGCGAGGACGAGGATTAGGACGAGAACTCCGGTTCTTAGGAGTCTCCTGTTTCTCTGGTAAACTAGGACCTGGAGCAGGTTTAACTCCGCCTTTAGAAACCACTTTAGAGGCAGCTTTAGCTACAGGAGTAACCTTCAATATACAAAATTTGAACAAAATATTTTTCATTTATTATTATTATTAACAATTTTCTAACAATTTTCTATTATGTTGAGTGAAAGATTGTTTTACCGTTTTGCCAGGATTTGTTTCCTTTTTCTTCAATTCTTTTTTCATCCTTTTCTTCAAATCTGTCTCTAAAGACCTTAAATAGTACGTTTTAAAGAGACTGTAAGCGTATTTTCAAGTGAATTACATGCAAATATTGTGATGTTCGATTCACAACGGTACCATTAAAAGCTGGGTCTGATCAAATATGAATTTGGTATCAAACAGGTTATTTTCAATTGTAATTTCTCTTCAAAAGTGACTTGAACATTTCTACGACAAGAAAACATATAGAAACTATCAGAATTGAACACTTTTAAACCTAGAATAACGACAATATTTTCCATATGATCAGATTATGGTTGCTAGGGTACCGTTGTGAATTAGGAATAGTTCTCTTTGCATTGAGGGTTACTTGAAATTACGCTTACAGTCCCTTTAAATAAGAAGCATTTACATTTTACAATATTGTGTGAATAAAATATTGAACTAACCTCAGGACTTGTTCGTCAACCATGTCTTTATGGAGAGATTTGATGTGTTTGACGAATTCTTGTTTAGTCTGAGTAATATCCTGGCATATCTCACACTGATACGGACCTTGGGATAATATATTCGTGAGAACGGTAGAACTATTAAATTCATTAATATTATCCCTACCAGCGAGTTGTTAATCGTTTAATTAAAGGTTAATTAAAAAGTTTTTAAAAAAACTCACAAGATTAAAAAATTGTATTCTTTTAAAGTTTGCTTTTATTGAACTTTGTAATATTTTTATCTCAAAAATGGAACGTTTTTTGAGACCGTTTTTTATGCATTTATTTCCTGTCGTTGTCAAAATGTGGCATTCTGTAAAACCAAATGTTTAGAATAAACTTACACTATTAAATATTTTGCTTCTAAAAGAAATTATAGGGGAAGAAATAACTTATAACGAACACGTAATGTACATCACTACCCGTAACACGTTTTATGTAATTTTCTTTTTTTGATAAATATGTTTGGTGTTGAATGATTTTCATTATTTAAATATGAAAGAAGGAAAAAACGTATTTATCGATAAATATGCATAGAAAACTTTAATTTAATTTAGTTCCCTGAATATTTGTTTAATCTATCTAAAAATATAAATTTGATCGTGCTGACCTACAGAAGGAAATATTTCTTCTTCATCTTCTAGTTCAACGACCTCAGCTGCGTGGGATGGTTTGGGTTCAGCTCTCGATTGATCAACCTGGAAAGAAACATTATTGCTAAATTATCAAGTTTTCCATTACACATCACAAGGTCATATTTTAGATTAAATCAAATCAATTAAATAATGTGGTGATTACCCAACAGCTTTCAAGTTTCAGAACGCGGAGTTTTAAGTCCGGACTGTCTATTCAATTTATCAATTATTTTTTCGTGCAATATGACTTAAATTCTCGTTCCTGAGTCTATGTGCCAGGAGACCAGTTTTTATAGCTCCGTCTTGTTGGAATAAGTTTAAATTATTTGAATGATTTAAAGATCTATTAAGGTTGTTAGAAGGTCCAAGTTTCTACCTTAGGTTTTCTTTTCACTGAATGAGAAGCGTCGAATCTTGAAGGAGAATGAATTTTCCTCTTTAAAGATCTAAAAACAAGTTTCATTGATTGCCGTATAATACGATAATAAGATTAATATTTTATCATATTTGTGAGGTTCCATGAGCAAATACCCAAGAAATTATATTTTTGAAAATGCGTTTGAAATACGACTAAAGTTGGACAATTGACATTATGAAGGGTTGCAAATAAGTTTTTATATTTCACTTATGCTCTTGCCAATCCTGACTATTACTATTTATTTTTCAAATGTTACAATGGTAAAATATTAAAAACACTTTTTTAAGTAAAAATTTGTTCTTTATTTGTAAATAATGCATATGGTGTGATTGATTCCTTAGTTAGTTTGTTTGTTTCTAATTTATAATGCATTTGCTGGTTTTTGTTTTAAGTTGGTGCTATATTTAGATTTAGCACATTGAATGTGCCCAGAGTTTTTTAGATGTGGAGAAGGTAGAGAATAGTGGTGGTTTGTCTCAATCTACTGAACAAAGCGTGAAATCATTTACAGAAGAAATCATTTGCTGGATATTAGGTATTAAATCTTCCATAAAGAGGAGAGAATTAAGCAGGTTATCTAGCAAGAACCAGTTCTAGAAATAAAATGATCAAGATCGTTGTCTTTTATTCATGAATCACGATTTATTGGTTTTTTATTGCTATGGAGTGCTAAGACCCCACATAAAGTTTGTGACACTAATATCTTAATGACTTGTTTCCACAAACTAACATTCAATGTTTTTGATTGTGGTACCACTTCAACTCGAGCTATGCGAGATATGGTGACTGATGAAGTATTTCAAAAACAGTTTTAGCTGAAGGGTGGTGGGCAAATCGACCCCCATCACCTGACTATTTTGTCCAAATATTTCAACAGAATAAGGAATTTAGAAAAAGCTATTTTTGTTCAATATCCAGTTATTACTTGAAAAAGCAGTTGATTGAAATTGTGAATAACATGATAACCTTTTCCATTCTGGAAAAGCTCTGACCGTTCTATTACAAATATGCAGAGATTTGCAAAATCTTACAAAACTTGGTTTGCAATGAAGAAAACTAAAAATTTGTTTGAATAAAGTAGGCAGTCGGGCAGTATGCATTGAGACTCTAGACAGTTAGTTAATATGCCTATAATATCATATCTGTTCGGTTCCATAGTAGTAAACCTATCGTGTAAGAATTCCCATAATTACACGGTTCAAGAGAACATTTTTCCAATAATGTTCGCTTTCTAGCGTTTAAGAATGCTTATTCTTACACTGGGGCATTCTTTAACATGTAATAATGTAATAATTTCCATTCTTACACGGTCAGAGCATTATAGAATGAAAATTCTGCACCTACAGTGTAAGAATAAGCATTCTTTAACCGTGTAATAATGAGAATTCTTACACGATACTACTACTACTTTGGAACCGAACAGATATTATATAATATCAATTATTAAATCTAAGAGAAAGCAAGTACAAATTTATTTATTCAATCAAAGGTTTATTCTTTTCCAAAAATCAAAAAAAAACTGAATATTTAATTTCTCTGCAAAAGTGCAAAGGGGGTATATTTTTATGAGAAAAAAATAAAAAAATTTGATTTCAAAAAGCAAGTTTTATATTCCTTTTGGATTCTTCTTACCAAAAAAAATCATTAAGTTTCATTTATTTCCCCCATAAAATTATATGATTTTCCCTAATGGGTTTTCCAAACAATAAACACCTGTTAGCTAAATCATAAAACTGAATTTAAATGATGAAATATTTTTACCTTCCGAAGCTTGAAGTTCTTCTCAACACGGTCTCTGCAGCATTCCTATCCTGTAGAAAATAAAACTTAGAGACAACTTGATCGTGAAATTTGAAATGGAACCCAACGTTGAACCCCCAGGAACTGTATATTTTCTTGGAATATTTGTTTTTAGTGTTCTATTGGCTGAGTTGGGGAAAATATATAATTTTTTAGGGGAATGTAAATAAAAGTGTAGGTAAAAAAATGAAAAATTATGAAAAATTAGCATTTTGTTGTCAAATTTTTCATTTTTCCCTCCCGATTTAAAACAATACTTTTTCTTTAACCCCTCGGCGAGGGAGGGAAGGGGGGGGGAGGAGGTGTTAATTCTTGAAAATATACATTTTACACCCCCCTGCGATGGACTTAATAAAAATATCATCTTTTCAATAAACAAAGGAGCGAGAAGAGTATTATTCTTTAAATGTTCTATTATTAAAATTTCTTATAAATATTAATAACCTATAATGTAAGCGTTTGAATATGTCAAAGATACATTTCGCATTGAAAATTTATGAGTTCAGAAAGTAGTTTTTTATCTTCAATTACCTTAGGAGAAAGAATAACTGTGGGTATTCTCTTCTCGTCATTATCCTGAAATAAAGAATTATAAAAAAAAATAATCTTAAAAACATGATATTTTTTTATAATTTTTGCGCAAAATGTTAAAATTTACCCCTGCCGCTCTTTTGATAGCTTTCTTCCTTAATGAATGTCTAGTTGAGAGAGGTAAATCTTCTGACCCAACTCCTATATTTATAATTTTATTAACATATTTTTATTATAAAAATCAGCTAATTAAAATATTTAAGTTTATGTTGTCCTACTTTTTGTTTTCTTCACATAAAGGTTTTTTTATCTTCCAGTGCTTAAAATCCATTTCATTATGACGCGGAACATAATTCTTTCTGCAAAAAAATGGATCCAAAATTCCTTTGCACTTTTTTTGATTCTCCGTAATCATTTAAAAAGGTTAATATGCTATCTGATAAAACGTGTTTTTGAGAACAAACAATTTTGCCCGATGGTTTGCCATATTGATTTAGATTCAGATCAAGGGCGCAAAAATATTGATCCTAAAACTGTGATCACAGAGTTATCCGACACCAGAGGCGTATTCAGAGGGGGCTATGTAGGCTTAGTCTCCCCCCCCCCCTGGACCAGTGATATTTATGGATTTCAGGGGGTTTTTAGGTCCCATCTGGTGCGGAGTCCCTCTGGAAAAAAAAGTAGCCCCTTCCTGGACAAATTCCTGAAATACGCCCCAGACTCCCCGACGGATGTACCTGAATTATCTGAACTTGTTCTCGACTGTCTCCGTGGCGGAGTATAAAGGGAGGCGGAGCTGAATCCAACTTTTTCCTCTTTTAACCCAGCTCTGTCAGGAACCGAGGCAATAGATTTCCGTATTTGCTGCAGATAAAAACATGGTTTTATAATTTTAACAATTTAAATAAACTATGATATTAAAACTCGACAAAAAAACAAAAGCTCAACAAAAAAAGAATATAAACATTTAACTTAACAATATTTCCACCAAATCAAACAAATAAAGGGGGAACGGATTCTTACCATTAATTAAAACAGAATTATATACCTTATACTTATTTTTCATAGCTTTAATGTCGACATGAGATCTTCCTAAGATCATATTTGAAGAGATCTGTGTCTTGTTTAGCTTATCAACTGTGCGCAAACACTTATCCTTAAAAAAAAACATTTTATTGTTTTGGTTTCGCGTAAATACCATTTTTGGTAATAGAAACTGGACGTTATTCAATATATATTGGAATTTTTAACATGTTCATCATAACTGTTCAACACGGCGCTCCTACATTTGCTCTATTTCCATATGTAGATGCTCTATGGCCATTTGCTCTATCACGTCATTTGCTCTACCCATCATTTGCTCTATATGACATCTGCTATATATATCATTTGCTCTATGACTAAACACGTCGTTTTTGCTCTATAGCCTAAAAAGACACTATAAAATAAACTTTATAGAAATTCTTGCACTGTATTTCTGCCCTTAAGAAGCAGACTTCTTCTTAAGTATTTTTTATTTAATGAAGTTGAACTTCCTTTTGGAATGATTTATTTATCTTAATAGCAGTTTACATGCAGTACACGATATACTAAATGAAGTTCGGTGGTTAAACTTCTTATACAATTAAAAAAGGAAATGTTCAGTTCTAAGGCACTAGGGTTGTTTGACTTTGTAAAAATCACAAAATAAACGGTTTAGAAATTTCTGAGCGAAACTTGACATTGCGCTGGACAAAGATCCGTGACTGTTTTTCTGACAATTAATTTCGGGAGAAAACTCAAACTCTATCCCTGCAATTCGAAAGTTTTGTCTTAGTAATCCGTTCAAAATCTCGTTATCCAAATGTCAAATTTTAAAGTATAGTTTTAAATGCTTGAACCCTTACCTAATTCCGACAAAGGGACAATTAACAGAAATTAATCTAATCCTTCGGACGCCAAAAGATATGAATACCTGCTTAATTCAGACATTAACCATAAAAAAGTGATGAACTCAGAAGCAATCAAAATTTACCCTTAATCTTTTTGAATTTAAAGTTTCAATGTGAATCAAGTGTTCGAGCCCGTTCTCTCCATAATAATGTTTAAACAGTGGTCGTGAAGTTCACGTACTTTAGCCGCTAAATGTCTCACGCAAAATTCTTATCAGATAGATAGATAATTCATACAAGAGACATCTAGCGGCCAAACTATCTTTCCCCAAAGTACGACCACTATCTATAGAGAGAACGGGTTCAGATGGTTTTACTAACCTTAAATTTTCTACTATCTATCGCCCCTTGGTAGCATTCTGTGCATATTTTGGTTGGAAGAACTGCTCCTGATACACCCAGAAACACGACCAGGAACTCCAATAGCTCGTCAGTCAACTTGACAGCCTACACCCAGGGTTCATAATTATACTAGAAAATCTCCCCCCCCCCNCCCCCCCCGGAGAAAGGAATTCGATACTCAAGGGTGGGGGGAGGGGAAAATTGACACCAACTAGATTGTATCTTTAGCCTCTTTGATACTAGACTTAAAAGTAAATAATATTCCCCTTAAAATCGTTTATTTTCCACTAACAAAAAATATATATATATATGTATTGAACCCTGCCTCATCAACTAGTTGGGAGCAGAGTCCACAAACTTTAAAGGAATCCTCGGCCTCTGCCATATTACTAGATTCTACAAATTATTAAAACAAATTTAATTGTATATTCCTTGTCATTGAACCGACTTTACAAGTATATTAATGAGGGGGGGGGGGGGGGTCCAAAAATATTTCTCGATGACTGAGCCGCGGGGTTAAGCCCTCGATAGAAGCAAATAAAAACCATATGATAACCTAGTGGAACTTAGTTTCCATAGACCCATCTCCCCTCACATATATAATATAATCCACGGGAAGAGAGACTGCAGGGACCAAAATTACAAAAAGTAGAATTGAATTGAGCCGCGAGAAAAATTCATTTTCTAAAAATAACACAAAAACCATTGACTGCAAGGTTGAGTCTTCTGTCAGAAACTAGGGTTAAATACGTGATCCAAGTATCGTGTAGAATGTAGAGTTGACGAATATACGGTTGGTTTATTTTGCTCAAGAGTCAAGTGTAAATTAATTTCTTTCTTATAGAAGAAAACTGTACGCGGCAGTATGTGGCAATGGAGGTTTCGTGATTTCAGGGAAAGGAAGACGATGAAATTTCGCTATTTTTGTGTTGTATTATTATTTAATTATAGTTTTTTAATGCCTGAGTGGATTTATTGATGTATTTGTATGATTTATCACTCAATGCTTTTTCTGTAGGCTTATAAAAGATTATTTAGATTGAAGGCTTAGAGAAATAAACGTTCGGAACCTTATTATCATCCTTTTGTTATGGAGAGCGTTGAGAGAAGGAAGCCTTACAATCCTATCCAGAGAAATACCACTCGGTACTTATAAGTTTCATTAGGTCTTTAGGGAATTCGCTAAGTTGCGAAACAATTATTATTATTGTTATTATTATTATTTCATTTCATATTTTTAATCAACTACAAAGCATGATATATTACAAAGCAATCACAATTTACTATGCAGTTTGGCCCCGCCTGACCAGGGTTGGTTGTTTTGAGTGGTTGGCCCCAAGTTAATTAACGATACTGAATATAATTGGTTACACATATCAAGTTATGTTTTTGGATAGGTAAGGGGTTGTTTGGAAGGAAGGAGATTGTCAGGTGATCTGTGGCAGGGTGAGATCAGAGGGATTTTAATGTAGAGATAAATTAAAATACAGGGTTTTAAGGATGGTGGATACAGAAACATAATGAGCTATTAAAGTTTCAGTTTTTTTAGTTTTTTTTTATATAAATGTCAAATTTGTAGATGTACTGCAGTACCTACAAATGTTTTTATATGTACCATAATTTAATTCATCAGTTTAATCTAAAAAATTGTATTTTCCACGCATGGGAAAATTAAACAAATATGGAATTCTGTATTCAATTACCTAAGAGAATGGAGTTTCAGAAAGATTGGATGTTATGTTTAAAATCTATACACTTTTGAAATAGTTTTTACACTCTCCAAGATTGTTCGACATGTTTAAGTGGCGTGAAGTCTAAAGGTGGAAAATGGAAAATATTTGTTGGTTTAGAAAAAAAATTTCCTCATGATCTTCAAAAAGTGATTAAACAACTAAATATCATTACATGGGGCTTTAGTATTCCTCAAAATAAAAAATGAAGCTGTTGGAACCAGATGCTCTTCTTCCTTCAGAACAGAGAAATATGGAGAAAGCTTCAAAGTTGAGATAAGTCATGAGTTGCTACAAATATTGGGTTTACGAAGTGAACTATAAGCAGAGACAGTATTCTTAGCTCCAATCATATAATGCAAATGTGTTTGCTGTACATCCTCACCACTTCATCATTTGTTGAAGAATCAATTCTAGGAGGTCAACATGTGCAAGTTCTTAAGTACTTTTCAAAGAAGCTAACAATGGATAGAATTGTAGATCAAGAGTTCACTAATAATGATTTTCTCAAGCCAAATCTCAAGAACTTAGATCGTGTAAAACTACGTATGGCAGATATCAGTGGAAAGACCAACAAATGTCATCCTGACATTCCAACAAGAATGCAACTAATATTTGTGAATACAAACAGTCAATAAAAAATACACTTAAGCATCTTTAATTAAATTTACTTAACAAAATAATCATTATGGAAAGTGGATTTGGTATTGGAGGTCATTCAAAGAGTGTTATTGAAATGACAACTTCTAAGCTTGACTATTGGTCACCGTTTATTGTGGAAGATAGGAGTTACAAGACAGAAAGGAATTGAGTCTTTGGAACAAAATCAAACATTTAAACCACAATATCTTTAGAACTCGATGTTGTAAACCTTTGATATTTCAAACTCAGATTACTTGATCTAACAGAATTCAAAGTTTGAAATATCTAATGTATGCAACATATGGTTCCAAAGATATAGTGATTAGAAAATCAGAGTTTGTGGCAAAGACTCAATTCCTTTGTCCTCAATCAATCTTTGGAGATGGGGCTATTTAATTTCAGTTACCAGCTGATCTTGAAAAATTTACAGATATATCTACCTTAACTCTGCATGGTAGAGTTGGTGATAATGTCAAAGAAGGAGATGGAATATGGAAACCAGTTAGTTCATTATCTCCTCGACCAGAACCATGGAGAGTCATCATTAATTTTTATCAATCACTTTGATCTTCTGTTACATCAAAAGTAAATGATTGTGAGATTGGAGATATTGCTTATAATTCGTATTCTTATGCAACATATCTGCAAACTCTTTTAGGAGCTTCAGTCAGTCAAGCTGGAAATCTTATTCTGTCTGAGCAAGGTTTTATCAAGGATAAGGCGGATAATATGAATACTCCTAATCTTTCAGATGCAAAGTCTGATTGAAAATAATTTTGTTGATTTCAATATTCCTCTACATAATGATTTAATGACTGTATCTTCCTCCTAATACAAAATTACCCTCACAATAAGAAAGTCAAGTGATGATTTTCTAATCTGGAAAGAGGATACTGATAAAAATGAATATAAAATTGTGTTGGAGGATATACACTAGAAAGTTAAATTATTGGAAGTCTTTCCACATGTGTTAAAAATTCATCAAAAACTACAGAAAAAGGGCAGTGCTTTAAAAATTAAGTTCACCAAAAATGTTTTGAAAACATTTGCTGTTCCTGCAGGAGCAGTTAAGCTCAAGCAGCATAATTTATTCAGTATACTTAGCCTTTGTGGAGCAGGAGGCTTTCAATGGAGATTGTTTAAAAAACCCATTCAACTTTGAAACTGTGGGTATAAAAGAAGCAGCTTTAATTGTTAATGGAGTGCCTGAACCATCTCCACCTTACTCTTTTGAAGAGGGAATTGATGAAAAAGAATTATATTTCAGTTTTCTTGAAAACACTGGAACATCATCCTTTGAGATGGACAGTGTGAATGTAACATTTGAAGAATTCAAGAAAGGCTATTGCATCCACCCATTTGATCGTTCCCCTACCGACGATAACGGATTATATAAGAGTCAAGGAGGAAGCATAACTATAAATGTTAAATCAAAGAGAGCTTTAGATAAAAATTTCATGGTTTTAGTGTTTGGTTCATATGATAGTTCATTGATTTTTGTTGATGATAAGGTTATTACTGAACCAAATTATTGAGAATGGAAGATTTGTAGCAAGGACTATCTATCATTCAAATCATGAACTATCTTGAAAATGATCCTGGATTTATAGGTTGTTTTCCAACAAATAAGATTACTAAAAAAAATTCCCTGCACAATCATAATCAATACAGCTCAAAGTGGAAATCCAGGAGATCACTGGATTGCTTTACATTTTAAAGAGGATGTTGCTTTCTACTTTGATAGTTTTGGGTTTCCTATAATAGAAGATGACATATTCAAATTCATAAAAAATATACTATAAACAAGTAATCTATAATCAAACATGTATTCTAACTATTTATTACTACTTAACCGGGAGATTAAGGGAGGATAATTAAATTGAGGGGAAAACCACTTAGCCGAGGGCCTCCAAGACCTTTTTGGGGTTCTAACCCCAAAAAGGTCTTGGAGGCCCTCGGCTAAGTGGTTTTCCCCTCAATTTAATTATCCTCATGAAAACTCCCGGTTAAGTAGTAATTTATCGTTTAATCTCCTGTTCAACGAAATAACCAACCGTGGGGGATAAAATAATAATGAAATCAATAAAACTATCAATTATGATTTTAATTCTCTTATTTCTTACAAATGCATATGGAAGAATATTTAATTTCTTGATCTAAATCTTGAATTAAATCTGTATGGATCACAGAGGGAGGATAAGTAATTATCCTCCCTGGAATTAAAAAAGGAGGGAATTTAAGGTTGGTTATTTCGTTGAACAGGAGATTAAAGATATAACTAGTATTGCATGTGGTTTATTTTGTATTGCTTTTGTTAAAAATGTTTTTTTCTGTAAAATTGTATAATTTATTTATAACTCAGTTCAGTTCTGATAATATCAAAGAAAATGATTGTACAGTCCTAAACTTTATTTGAGTTCATATAATGTATAACTTGTAATATAATTTTATAATAACATTGATTTTTCTTTCTTCTCTTTGAATTATATTATCAATATGTTTAATTTCTATACAACTACTACAACTATTACTACTGCTGCTATTACTATGATTACTGCCGCTGCTGCTGCTACTATACTACAATTATTACTGCTGCTGCTGCTGCTGCCATACTATTATCATTACTGCTACTGCTATTGATGATGATGATTACTAGTTTTGTTTAAGAAGTGGGGATCAACACCCTTGATATGTTTGCTGTTTAAGAAGTGTGGACCAGAACCCTTATATATAATTGCTTTTTAAGAAGTGTGGACCAGCACCCCTGATATATAGTTGCTTTTTAAGAAGTGAGTACCAGCACCCCTGATATATAGTTGCAGTTTAAGAAGTGTGGACCAGCACCCCTGATATATAGTTGCTTTTTAAGAAGTGTGGACCAGCACCCCTGATATATAGTTGCAGTTTAAGAAGTGTGGACCAGCACCCCTGATATAGTTGCTTTTTAAGAAGTGTGGACCAGCACCCCTGATATGTAGTTGCTGTTTAAGAAGTGTGGACCAGCACCCCTGATATGTTTGCTGTTTAGGAAGTGTGGACCAGAACCCTTGAAAAATAGTTGCTGTTGAAGAAGAGTGGTCCAGCACCCCTGATATATAGTTGCTGTTTAAGAAGTGTGGACCAGCACCCCTGATATATAGTTGCTGTTGAAGAATAGTGGTCCAGCACCCCTGATATATAGTTGCTGTTTAAGAAGTGTGGACCAGGACCAGTGCACCCCTTTAAATTTAGGTTAAATACTGTGTTCCTTAAAACATATAGTTGGCAAGTAAATGGCTTCAATTTCACTTTTATGCAATGTGTACCTTTAAAATTACCTCCTGCATCTGCATTCTGCATTTTTGTAGCCCAAAATATGTACATTTTAAAACTATAAAGCACATGTTTTTAGCTTTGGTCTTTAAAAATATTTGGCAAAATTTTCATAGATGTTTGCATGAGAGCTTAAAAACAACCTTTAATCACAGTGGGTTCAGTATTAAGACAATCAACATGCTCAAGTGCTGGTTTTTCTCAACAGCAGCAAGGAAAATGGAACTTGAATATATTAAAGAATGAAGCTATTACAACTATTATGAAGAGAAAGGAATAAGATTAGGTTTAGTAGTCGAACTGAGAGTGCAGTATAATAAAGAAAAATTTTTGGATTAAGTTAATACCTAAAAATCATTTTTATGGTGTAAAAATTGCTAAATAAGAGCACAAATTGCTCTTTCCATTATCCAATCTGGAGACTGGTTCTCAAGAATCAATTTTTAAAAAAATATTTAAATAACTGGACAAAAAAGTAACTTTAATTCTTCTGTAAACTATTGTGTTGTGACAACAGATTTCTCAAATTGAATGTGTGATAAATCAATGACAGAATCCTCTTTGCAATGAAATTCAAGGAAATCTGAGGGAAATGTCCTAAAAGAATCTAACATTACAACAAAGCACCTTACGGAATAAAATTCCCTATTTTTTATTTTTAATGGCTTATTTAATGATTTGACAAAGAAAAAAAAACAAGTTTACATGAATATAAAAACACTTGCAGTATTAATTTCATATTATTGTCTCTGAAGTCTCATCCTTTGTGGGTAACCCTGTAATTCTTAAACAAAACCTCACAGCAGCCAACTGATGAAATGCAATGCTAGTATTCAATTCAGAATGCATTTTTCACATGTCCACTACAGTTTGATTTTAAATAATTTAATGTAAACATCATTCAGACATTTGAAATTCTAATTTAGGATTTGGAGATTTAACATTTTCAAGATCTTGTGATGAACTCTTCTTAAACATCTCCTCTATCTCTGTATAGGTTTTATTTCTTGTCTCTGGGAGAAGGAAGAAAGCGAAGGCTGCTGCCGTCATGGATACTGTACAGTGAATATAATACACACCAGCCATTCCTAGCGATTCCTTTAGTATCAAAAAGGTCTTGAGTTGAATGAACTGTGAGATGAACCGAGTTGAGTTAGAGATTCCGCAGCCCAAGGATCTAAAGTGTTGAGGAAATATCTCACTTGACAGAGTGACAGGAATTGGTCCAAAAAGAGCACCATAGGAGACACCAAAAGCCAAATGCAGTAGTACTGGAGTAAATGCTAAGACTGAAGATATGTTGTAGAGATGAAACTGGTAATAAAATCCTATGATGGTGCTGCACAATGATAGAAGGATGGCTCCTGTCATGAACTGAAGGCGCCGATTCATTTTTCCCATAACTACAGGTGCTATTAAGCATCCACTTGTAAAAGATATTTGGAAAAGCATTCCCATTAAAATAGGACTTATGGCTACTCCAGGATACTCAAATATTGTGAGTGCATAGAATGATATATCATCTCCACCTACAAGAGCATGGAAGAAGAACAGCGAGCTAAGAATGAAAAGAGGGAATAGGAAAGCTCTGCTAAGAATAGGATCCTGACTCACTAGTTGATCTCCAAGTTGTTTGCAAACCAGGTTCTCCAGTTCCTTAGCTTCAGGTTCAAGATGATACTGAGGTCCTCTTAGCCAGGCAATCACCTTTCTTGCTTCTGATGTTCTTCCCTTTGTCATCAACCATACAGGAGATTCCACAACGTACCAAGAGAAGACAAGGAAAATTATGCTTGGTAAAACAAGAATCCAGGGTAGAATATGAACTGGAACAATACTACTGATTACAAACCCATACAGATATCCTCCATTTGGTATTAGAGTCATTAAACTCCCCATTGATCCTCTTAACCTAAAACAAACTAGACTAAATCATATATCCAGAGTCTCCCTGCTAAAAAAGGGGATTTCGGATTTTTAAATTTGAGAAAATGTTTGATAGTTATCATATCGAGTATTTTAAAAAGCATTAATTTTCTTGTAACAAGGTTACAAGTTGGCGCTGTCAGCGTTTTTGTAAGTAGTCAAAATTTACAGGTGAGCAGCTGTGCAATTTTACTTTTCAAATGTTTAAATACACATTCAAAGTTTAAAAGGCATGCTTGTTGGCTGTTGTTTTCTAGAAAAAATATTATTTTTACTGTGCGTAAAGTTTTCGATGCATGCAATGATCATGAATATTCATTAGAAATGAGATAATTATCAATTTTCTTGTTATAATTTAATTTTAGTAAACCTGCTGCTGACAGCAATTGTTGCTTTTACATAACTAATATCTTAGCATTTATTTACCTTATTAGTGTAATTTCTGAGAGTACTAGACTTATTGCAGGGTTAAACAGCCCAACTGCTGTTCCACATAGAAAACTTCCAACCAGCAGTACCTAGATTTATAAATTATACAGACTGGTACAGAGTTTATGGAAAATGATCTTTGGTCAATTATGATACCATAATTTGGTTCTCTTCTAATATTAATTTTAGATTTTCTATAAAATGATGTTCCAGGGCCGAAAAGGTTATATAGCGCAAATATGTGAAGTACACCTGCAGTATGGAAACAGTACAACAAAATGGCCGTTTTACACTTTTTTTCTAGTAAATTCTACTCTAATATATATTCTATTCTCTTTGGATGTACATCATATTTACTTTTCACAAAAAAAGAGAATTTTCAAAGACTAGTATGGGTCGGACCAAATGTGAATTAGCCTGGGGGGGGGAGAGGGGGGAAGGAAACCCGTTAAAATTCACATACTAAAGAGTGAGCATAAATGTTTCGGGACTTTTGAATATATTTTTATACAAGCTGAACTACGATGATTAAATGACTAAAACAGATTATTTGTATTAGGTTATATATGATATATATGTATATTCTATACTTAAGTTCAAATTTCATCAAAATCAAACTTTGATCTGATAGTGTTGCCTTGTCATTGTCCAAATGTTCCATTAGAAAACATCTGGGCAATCATCAAGAGATGGAGGTCACAAACTTCATCTACTGAAGCTTAATATCAAGAAGATATGAAGGGAACTTGACAGTGATAAAGCATTCCTTTATAAAAAGCTGGTTTTTTGGTATGCAACAATTTTCATTTAATCCCGCCGGGATATTTTCATTGAAAGATACCTTGAAAATCTACAAAGGCAAAAAAAATCCGCAAAATCCGCAAGCACTCGGGTTCATCATCGAATCCCCTCTTTAAAAAGGAATTTCATTTACTCTCAGACAAATTAGAATCAATGAAAATTTGTCTGAAAGTAAATGATACATTGTGAATAAAAATGATTGAGTCAATCCCTAGGCGCCTGGTAGCTGTCATCACCAAGGGAGGAGAATAAGTATACAAAGAATACTATCAGAACAAGTTAATGGGGACCTCAGCCGAAGAACAACCGTATGGATCGGATATATATGGATCGGATAGCGTATGGATCGGATAGCGTATGGATCAGATAGCATATGGATCAGATAGCGTATGGATCGGATAGCGTATGGATCAGATAGCGTATGGATCGGATAGTGTATGGATCAGATAGCGTATGGATCGGACAGCGTATGGATCAGATAGCGTATGGATCAGATAACATATGGATCGGATAGTATATGGATCAGATAGCGTATGGATCAGAACGTATGGATCAGATAGTATATGGATCAAATAGTAAATGGATCAAATAGTGTATGGATCAGATAGGTTATGAATCTGATAGCGTATAGATTGGATAGTGTATGGATCAGATAGCGTATGGATGAAATAGAGTATGGATCAGATAGCCCATGGATCGGATAGATAGATAGCTTATGGATTCGATTATCAAAGGAATTGGACCTGAATTTGGCTGAGGATATCGGAAAACCTATTAGCAATCACTGGGTCTTAATAAAGAATGGACAAATTCAAACAGACATAAACAACATTTTTAAGGAGTAGAATATTTAGTGGTGACTGTATTTTGGCTGAGGACATCGGAAAACCTAATAACAATCACTGGGTCTTAATTTCAACAATGAGTTAGAACATGGACAATTTCAAACAGACATGTATAGAACNAGAGCATCTTTTCCATGCTTTTAAACGTTTCTGCTATGCTTAGTTTGGTCGGGACAGGGTAAATAATCTCGAAAATATGGCCTTTTTCGCGTATTTTCGTCAAAATCGACCAAAGTTATTTTTTTAAAAAATTTTTAATTATGCCTTCCGACGCCCTAGAAAAACTTTAAAGGCCATTAAAGATAGCAGGAGATCTTGGAGAATACGATTCCAGCTTTTAAAACATCAAAATCGACCTCCAAGTGATGAAAAAATGACAAAGTGTCTAAAATATTTTTCCGAAAAACTTGATTTTTCACAATTTTGTTCACAAAAACGCCCATAACTCGGTCATTTTTCAACATTTTTTCAATCTTTTTTTTCTAGTGCATTCTACACGCCAATGTGCATCTTTATTAGGGCGCTAAAGTTATTTGCCGCTTTTACTTTTGATGATATGAAAAAAAGAAAAAATATTTTTGTTCAAAACGGCTTTTTTTCACCCAATTATTAAGCCGCCCTGCCTTTAAAAATCATTTTACACACTTGCTATATCTCTTAAAACCCCTTGCATTTGTTCTTGTGATTCCAACGATATCTTTAAAATTACTCTATCATGTCTACAGCCTGTGTTACGGCCTCAAATGCAATTTTCTTCATTTTCTCGGAAAATTTAAATTGAAAGTTGAAATATTGGACAAAAATCTCCCAAACTTGATCGAAATAATACTGTTTCTCGAATACTATGTAAAACTATAAGTATAGTTTTGCTTCGCAAAACATATCCTTTATAGTTTTCCTTGATAAGTTTGATTTTGATGAAACTTGAACTAAAGTAGTACATATATATATTTAACTGTATACAAACAAACTGTCATGTCAGCTTTTATTAGAATATATTCAAAAGTCCTGAAAAATTTTTATGGTAAAAAATTTTTATTTGTCTGAAGAATAAAACTTAAAAAGTATAAAAATTAGTAGATTAAGGGAAAAATTAGTTAAAATTTTCATGAGCAAAAGGAATTTTTAGTCATCAAAACATGCTAGCATTAATATTCCTGATTTATCAATGACAATAAATGGCCTTCTTAAGAGTCTAGGGACAACTTTAAACCAGTTTTAACTGTGACTTTATATTTCACATTGAAAAGTTTTAAAAAGTGCTAAAGACGAAAAAAGTCAGCTAAACCTCTTTCAAACCAATTTATTTTAAGCACATCTCTGACATATACAAGTATTCTTTTTCCTCACTTCTAAATAAGGCTTGCAAAATGCAAGTTGATGTCATTTGTGTTGCACTATAAAAATGCAAATTTTTGCACATAAATCTTCTGTTTCCTCATAGACAATTTAAAATTTCATTCAACTAGGATGCATTTAAAATTACAATTTATACTAGTATATATACTACAACAAATTTTTTGCCTCTGCTATTGAACATTTTCATTGGGTCTTAATTGAATTGCAAAACAAACGTCAAAACTCTTCAAGATACACATCTAAACATGAAAATACCTCATAAGAAGGAGCAAATGATAAAAGAGCAGAAGAAATGATGATAAGTAAACTACCAATCATTATAGTTCTCTTCCTTCCCAACCGTTCCATAATGAATCCACTGAGAAGATTACCAAGCATCTGGACAGGAGAACCTAGACTCACTGAAAAAAGACAATATTCACCTCACTGTACAGTTTTATTTGTGCACACTATACTGTAATGGAAAGTTGGAAAGCTAGAGGAAACATGAATTTTCAGTTCACTTAGACAAAGGAATTGAGATTTTGCCACAAACTTTTTTTTTAAATATCTATATCGATCTTTGGTACCTGTTTGTGTAAACCTTTGTTATTTCAGACTGAGACTTTTTGATCTAACAGAATTCATAGTTTTAAATATACAAAGTCTGCAACATTGGAAACTGCAAAAAATAGGAATTGGAAAATTCTTCTAAACTTGATGAAGAGCTGGTAACTTGTAAACAAGTTCTATTAATTTATAAATTGTCATCTCAGCTTACCAAACCAAGAAGCTTCTGATTCTGTCATCTGAATAGTAGAATTATTCGAAGGCTCCATGTAGTAGGGAAGAGCAGCAGCAAAGTAGGAAATTGCTGCTCCTCCAGTAAACCCTGGGAGTAGATACAGGAATGCACAGATAAACTAAAAATAAGAAAATTTCAAAACTTTTATTTGTTTGCTCATAACCAAGTTTTGATTAGATAGATAGGAAATTTCTATCCGAATGTTTGTGTTTGTTTTAGAGCACAAAATCTTTATTTTTGTGTAGTCTGTTTTAGTCAATATATATATGTTTTAAAAATTATTATGTCAAACAGATCAAGGGAAAAAATAGAATTTTGTCAAGATAAATTATTTAAATTATTATCTAACTTTTTATTTTTACCATTTTAATATTAGATGTATTCTGCTGGTTAATAAGAATACTGCTGCTGATCTCTATCATTGTTGTTAGGTTTTACTGTTTCTAAACCTAAACATATGAGTAGATACGATTTAGCATGAAAACTAAGAAATTTTAATCAGTTTTTTAATGGGAAAAAAGGGAGGAGAAAAAGGAAAGAAAAAGTGTAAGAAAAAAGGAAAGGAAAAGGAGAAGGGCAACAGGTAGGGAGGGAGGGGGGCGGGAGGGAAGTGGATATGTGTTAGCTAGGGGAGGGGATAGGTAGGGAAGGAGATAGGTAGGGAAGTGGAAAAGTAGGGAAGGGTAAGGTTGGGAAGGAAAGAGGAAGGTTGAGAGGGAAAAAGGAATATAAGGATTAGGTAACTACGGAAGGGACAAGGGAAGGTAGGGAAGGGAAGGGAAGTAGAAAGGTAAGGTATGGGAAGGTATAAGGAAGGTATGGGGAAAGTAGGGTAGTTAGGGAAGGGGAACGAAGGGAAGGTAGAGAATCGACGGAAGGTTGGCAGGTAAAGAAGTGAAGGAAAGGTGAATAAAAGGAAGGGAAGTGCTGTAGCTCTTTACCTCCACATAACTAACTTTATTAAAATCAGAGAGTTTATTACAAATAAATTTCCCCAATAGTTATAATACAGCCTACAAAAATTTACGCGCACAAAGAAGTTGAGTTTTTGCCACAAACTCTGATTTTCTATTCTCTATATCTTTGCAACCCAATGTCGTAGACCTTAGATATTTCAAACTATTAATACTTATAGATAGAATAATCTAAGTTTGAAATATCAAAGGTTTGCACCATCTGGTTGCACAGATATTGGGATCAGAAGATTTGAGTTTGTGGCAAAAACTCAATTCCTTTATACCAAAATACAGCAAAATATAATTTTGAGAACTTGAGGAGTATAAGTAGACCCCCCCCCCCACAAAGTATAATGATGGGAATTGAATTTAAAGAAACAATATGTACTCCTGAACTGATAAATTATCAATTCCTTAACTTATTTGCCATTGCCACCATACCATTACCAAAAATTAAAAAAAATAATTTATTCATTTCTAAATGCATCCTTTTGGGGATTATTATGCACTAAAATATTATGCTAAAAAGTGATATCTTTTTAGTTATCGAATTTGGAGAAGGAAATACAAAAATTATAGAGTTTGTTGATGANCTTTAAAACTGTGGAGTATATAGGAAGATGGCTGTTAGGCTCAGGTTATGTACAATAGAGGGTTTAAAATACTGCCTTATACTGCTGCATTGGACCCTTTAAAACTGTGGAGTATATAGGAAGATGGCTGTTAGGCTCAGGTTATGTACAATAGAGGGTTTAAAATACTGCCTTATACTGCTGCATTGGACCGTTTAAAACTGTGGAGTATATAGGAAGATGGCTGTTAGGCTCAGGTTATGAGTGAACATGAAGCACGACAATTTGACAGTGTAAAGAGACCCTTTTCACTTACTAGGTTGTTTTTCAAACTATTTTCTTTATAACAGCGCATTAGATTATTAAATGGTATGTTCCTATTTCACGATTATTATGTGTCCCGCTTTATCAAAAATGAAAAACTTTCTTACTGTAGAAGGAATATGTTTAAACTATACTGGAGGGGTCAAAACCTTTATTTAAATAAGCTCTAACTTAATAGTACAAAGATTAATTTAGTTCATGCAAAGCTTAAAAAAATTATAGTTATCCATGGTTTCTTTTTTGGAAAGGACACTCTTTTACATTGAAAAGATTATTATATCAGATAGCCTTGTTAAAGATAAAACTATATAATATATCTAGAATATTTTGCCACCCTAAAAGACAGACGTGAGAAGGCTTGGATATTTTTAATTCTGGATGAAACCAGATATTGTAAGGAGAACAGTTCTTCAAATGAAAAAAGACATTATGCATTTGCACACAATGTTTAACTGAGAACGGGCGGTAAATCAGGAATAATCTGAAATTGTAATGATAAATATCAGCACATTCAAAATATCTTTTTTATTTTTTTTTTTAAATTAGGAAAACCTTGAAATGAACTGAGTTTTTGCCACAAACTCAAATTTTCTAATTCTTTTATCTTTGCAACCTGAAGGTGAAAACCTTTGATATTTAAACTTGACGATTTTTATCCCAAAAATATAGTTCGAAACAACATTGGGTTGCACAAATATGGGAATTATGAAATCAGAGAATATGCAAAAACTCAATTAATTTGTAATGCTGAGGTTTAAACCTTGAGTGAAACTGAATATAGCGTTCTTGAGAATTAAACTTTGGGTGAAACTAAATCTAAACGGGTAATCCCAATATCCACTATGACAAAGGAATTGAGTCTTTCCCACAAAATAAAATTTTTTTAATTCCTATATCTTGGCAACCTGATGCTGAAAACCTTTGATATTTCAAACTTGACAAATGAATTAAAGTTTGAAATAACAGAGGTCTAGAACATTGGGTTCCAAAGATATCGGGATAGTAAAATCATAGATTTTGTCAAAAAATCAATTACTTTGTAATGCTTCCTGTGGTTTAAACCTTGTGTGAAACTGAATATAGCGTTAGTCTAAGCGCTTAATCATGATATCCTCTATGAAAATAGAATTTAGTTTGTCACAAACTAAAATTTTAAAATCTCAAAATTCAAAAAGATGTTTCAGAAATTGTCGTTTTGGAATATTTCATACAGGTCGTTTTATTTTGTTTTTATTCTGTTTAAGCGAAAAGCGATATTTTTCGTTTACAGTTTTTAAACTAAAAACTTTTTTTTTTCGTTTTCCTGTTTAAAACAAAATATCGATCTTTTTCGGTTTTCCTTTTCAAACCGTAAACGAAATATACGATGTTGATGAACGTTTCACTCCAAAAACATATTTAACCATCTTATCCCTGGATTTATATTGATGAACATATAGTGATAAACCTTATAAAGAAAAACACAGCAGGTTAAAAGCTTTAATTGTAAACATGGAATGTCTCGTTCAGACGATTTTCCATGATTTTGAAAATGTAACAGTAACAGCTGGTCATTGTTTTTATCCGGGTTTGTAAAACATCGAAGGTTATTTGGCTTTTAGAAATTTCACCTAATTCAAAATTTTATTCTTAATATTCTTAATATTCTTAATATTCTTAATATTCTTAATATACCCCTGGAAAAATTTAGGTATTGCAACTTGCGAGATAGATTTAGTATAGTACATTGATGACCAAAAGCGAATAAATCCTCTAAAGTCGCAAGGCCGGAAAACGGAAAACATTTAAATTTTTAAATTTAAATATCAGTCCTTCAAGCTAAATTTTCTTAACATCACATGAATTTCACCACCCTTTATCTTTTTTTGCTCTCAGAGTTGAGATTGGAGAGTCATTAGTCCAATTATTTATGATATCTCTTTTTTGAATGTTTTAGACCATTAACTTTAATTGTTGTGGAGCTAGAGATGTTATAAACAAAAACTTTTAAAACAAATTATTGAATTAAATGTGGACTGCTAAGAATTTGAAAAATGAAGATCAAAGGAAAACTCTTTTATTTAGATTAATGTTTAATCAGTGGCAGGTGTGGCAGCTCCTGGAAGTATTATGCAGCTAGGGATGTTAACGTTTTCATTTTTTCGTTTTTTTCGTTTTTCTATCGTTTTTTGTTTTGTTTTCCGATCGTTTTAAAAACTATCGTTTGTTTTAAAAGTTTTTGTAACGATTGTTTTTAAAATGATCGAAAAAAGAAACAAAAAACGATAGGAAAATGAAAAAAAAGGTCGTTTAACGATCGTTTTCAAAAACGATTAACAACCCTAGATGCAGGGGAGACTTTCCCATCTTTAAAATAGAAGAGAGAACCCTTGAAAAAATTAGGTTTACCACTAATTTAAATGTTTAAGTTTCTTTTGTTTAAATAATTTAACCAGAAGCACATCTTAATCAGTTACTGTACTGTGTGCACTGTGCATGCATTTAAATTAGAAGCGGTCATTTCAGGAGGTTTTATATCTTTGCATTATAATTGAAGTAAAAGGCCAATAGAATTAATCATTTGAAAACAAAGGAGTTTTTGCAACAAACTCAAATGTTCTAATCCCTATATCTCTGGAACTGGTTGATGTAAACCTTTGATATTTCAAACTTGGATTATTTAATCTAACATATCTCATAGTTTGAAATATCAAAGGCCTACTGCACTGGGTTGAAAAGATATAGGGATTAGAAAAGTTAGAAGAGTTTGTTACAAAGACTCAATTCCTTTCTTTTAATAAGTTTCTGGAGAAAATAACCAAATTTTTTCCAAAGATATATTTATGTTCAAACAGTTCGAACAAAGGAGTTGAGTTTTTGCCACAAAGTCTGATTTTCTAATCTCTATATCTTTGTAACCCAATGTCGTAGACCTTAGATATTTCAAACTATTAATACTTATAGATAAAATAATCTAAGTTTGAAATATCAAAGGTTTGCATCAAAAGATTGCAAAGATATTGGAATCAGAAGATTTTAGTTTTTGGCAAAAACTCAATTCCTTTCTCAACAGTTTTAAGAGCCCAGTAATTTCATGAAATAGACCAATTTTCCTTATTCTCCAGAACAGCTAATTGCTTCAGCCGCTGTATCCTAAGGTTGTATACACTGTACATGTCTTAATTATTCTGTGCTTCTAAAATCTTCTCAGTTTAATACCTTTTCATTTTCAACTTTGTAACTTTTAAAATCATTTTAGTTTGTCTGAGGAAGTTTAATCTCACCCTTTTTTCATTTTTCACCCCTTCAAAAATATTGACATTTTTTTCAAAACACAAAATGAACAAACAGCTCTTTTGAATTATTTTTTAACAAAGGCACTGAGTTTTTGCAAAAAACTCAAAATTTATAATCCCTATATCTATGCAACCTGATATTGGAAACCTTTGATATTTCAAACTTAGATTAATTTTATCTAACAGAACTCATAGCTTGAAATATTAATGGGCTACCACATTGGGTTACAAAGTTGTAAAAATGAGAAAATCATAGATTGTGTCAAAAACTCAGTTCCTTTGGTATTTTTAATTTTTTAATTTTTCATAAACTTCAATTTTTAAGCAACTTGTAATTGATACATGTTCTTAATGCAGATAATCATATTTTTCAATATTCTTCTTTTCTGTCTACCCTTGTTCACTTTATTTGACTGTGTTGTATTATCTGCATACCCCCCCCCCCTTAAAAGGGTAATATGCACTTCTGAACATAGTTGACAAGGCAATTTGTATTTCCTTATTTTTGTTGTGTATAGGCTAAATTTGATTAGCACACGCCTCCACAAGGATATGCAAACTCATCATGAAGCTGACTTTGTCAATTGTGTATTGTGTATTGTGTATTGTGTATTGTGTATTGTGTATTGTGTATTGTGTATTGTGTATTGTGTATTGTGTATTGTGCATTGTGCATTGTGTATTGTGTATTGTGTATTGTGTATTGTGTATTGTGTATTGTGTATTGTGTATTGTGTATTGTGCATTGTGTATTGTGTATTGTGTATTGTGTATTGTGTATTGTGTATTGTGTATAGGCTGAATTTGATAGCACACGCCTCCACAAGGATGTGCAAACTCATCATTAAGCTGACTTTGTCAATTTTTTCTACAGTTTTATACTCCGCATATAAAGTAGTGAATTTTGATTTTTTCTACAGTTGTATACTCCGGATATAAAGTAGTGATTTTTGATTTTTTCTTAAATTCTAAATCTGCTTCATTATTCATGTATCCTCCAGTAATTTTTTATTTAAGTTCAAGAGATCTCCATTGCCTATAACTCAAGGAGAATTGAATAGAAGGAGGGGGCGATTGGGTTTCCGTACACTTTGCTTTGACGTTTTTGGACTGCTGAAGAACTAGTTTTTGTGTAACAACAATAACAAAGGCAGCCGATCTAATGTAAACAAACATGAGTTAGTAATAGCATACGGTGAATCTTCATCTAACGCCAGAGATGCACCAGATGGCTGTTTATCATTTGTGTTATTGTTTACAATCTTTATTATTGTTGTTATGTAAAAACTAGTTCTTCAGCAGCCCAAAAACGTCACAGCAAAGTGTACGGACACCCAATCACCCCCTCCTACTATTCAGTTCTCCTTGCTATAACTCAATTCAGCTAAGGTTCAAATTGATCTAGGAGCCTCCCCTAGGACAAGTGTCAAAATGCTGATCCCTCTCAGAAAGTTTTGATTAAGATTCTACAAGAGTTCCACTAAATCTGCTCCTAAAGTAGGATAAAGTTGTAGGGTTAGGAAGTTTACGAGGGGTATCGAAAGATCTTCTTTTCGAGTGTTTGGTTTTTTAGCTTTTCAATGTGTATTCAAAATTAGGATAAATTATCCTATTATTACCCATCATCTGCACTGCATGTACACCTGGGGAGTTGTCCCTTTATCCATAGTGTGCAGTGGTAAAAGATTTTCCATTAGGGCTCCAGTTGCTGAGTAAGTTAGATTAAAAGCCGGATTGATGTATACTGCTTCATGACTCTTATTAATCTTTGTTTCTCTATTTTATTATTACCCTCTTCCAGCATTTAAGGATACAGGTTTCTCAGTGCATAGGCTAAAATAGCAAGGAAAGATTGGGAGAGATATCTTACACAGAGCATGGTGTAGGATCAACTGCTTTTCCGAAAAATGATTAATACAAAAGAGTAACTTTATCCCCCTGATTCTTCATTAAAAAGAAGGGTACTAAATTAGATGCTTTAACTGCAAACAATTCAGTGCCAGCTCAGACATTTTAAACTCTTCTTGCACTACAAAGAAACCTCCTCCTTAAATTTCTATATTTTTAGTTATTTTATTGTATCAAAATCATTCAGACATTTTAAATTCTAATTTTGGATTTCGATATTTCACATTTTCAAGATCTGGTGGTGAACTCTTCTTAAACATCTCCTCTAACTCTGTGTAGGTTTTATTTCTTGTCTCTGGAAGAAGGAAGAAAGCAAAGGCTGCTGCTGTCACAGACACTGCACAGTGAATATAATAAACACCAGCCATTCCCAGCGATTCTTTAATTAATAGAAAGCTCTTGAGTTGAATGAACTGTGAGATAAACCGAGTTGAGTTAGAGATTCCGCAGCCCAAGGATCTAAAGTGTTGAGGAAATATCTCACTTGACAGAGTGACAGGAATTGGTCCAAAAAGAGCACCATAGGAGACACCAAAAGCCAAATGCAGTAGTACTGGAGTATATGCTAAGACTGAAGATATGTTGTAGAGATGAAACTGGTAATAAAATCCTATGATTGTGCTGCACAATGATATGAGGATGGCTCCTGAAATGAACTGAGATCGCCGGTTCATTTTTCCCATAACTATGGGTGCTATAAAGGATCCGACTGTAAAGGACATTTGAAATAGCATTGCCATTAAGATTGGAGTGATGTCTACCCCAGGATAATCAAACACTGTTAATGCGTAGCAAGATATATCATCACCACCCACCAGTGCATGAAAGAAGAATAGGGAGCTAAGAATGAAGAGTGGAAATAGGAAAGCTCTGCTAAGAATAGGATCCCTACTCACAGGTTGATCTCCTAGTTGTTCACATGCCAGGTTCTCCAGTTCCTTAGCTTCAGGTTCAAGATGATACTGAGGTCCTCTTAGCCAGGCAATCACCTCTCTGGCCTCCGTTGTTCTTCCCTTTGTCATCAACCATATTGGAGATTCCACCACATACCACAAGAAGGTAAGGAAAATGATGCTTGGTAAAACAAGGATCCAGGGTAGAATATGAATGGGAACAATACTACTAAGCACAAACCCATACAAATACCCCACACATGGTGTTAGATTCATCAAACTTCCCATTGGACCTCTCAATCTAAAATACATCAGAATAAATATCAGTGTTACATCTGGTGTTATGCGTTTAATTACCTTATTAATGTTATCTCAGAGAGGATTAAACTTATTGCAGGGCTAACAAGACCAACTGCAGTTCCACATAGAAAGCTTCCAACCAAAAGTACCTAGATTTTAAAACATCTTAAAATGCAATTTCAAAAGAGAAAAGTACTTTTTTTCAGGAATTTAAAATTCTAAAAAAATACAAAAAAATCTTATTCTTTCATTCTCAAGTATTATGAATACCTCATATGAAGGAGCAAATGAAAGCAGAGCAGAAGATAAGATGACAAGTAAACTACCAATCATTATAGTTCTCTTCCTTCCAAACCGTTCCATAATGAATCCACTGAGAAGATTACCAAGCATCTGCATTGGAGAACCCAAACTCACTGAAAAGGCAGATTGTTACTTAAAAAGCTCCTGTCTCGGCTTAATTTTGCTTACCGAACCAGGAAGCTTCTGATTCTGTCATCTGAATAGTAGAATTATTCGAAGGCTCCATGTAGTAGGGAAGAGCAGCAGCAAAGTAGGAAATTGCTGCTCCTCCAGTAAACCCTGGGAGTAGATACAGAAATGCACAGATAAACTAATAAAATGAAAATTAGATAGCTTTAACATGTTACATAAGATTTTGTTTAATTTACTTATTGATCCCTTAGTGTTGAAATACCCCTTTATCAATAACTATTATTGCAAAAAATAAGCTTAACCTGGGACCAAATTTAAATAATTTGAACTGCCTAAAGTACAGTTGCCCCTGTGCGAATTTGAACCAGCAATTCAAATCCTCCCTTTATCTTTAACTTTATGTCAGTGTGGTTGAAAATTTGAACTGGAAATCGGTAGTTCAGCGATGTAGCTCAAATTCATTAAATCCAGTTCCTGGAAAGACTACTTACCATCTTTAAATTAGAAGCATTCAATTGGTTGATAAGTATACTATTACTGATCTCCATCTTAATTATCAGTTTTCACTGCTGAAGCCTCTCTAAACAAAAATAGATGTTGTTTCTGTTTTACAGCTATTTTTTACATTAAGATATGAATTGATATGGCCTAATAATTTATCAAGATTAGAGTTTTACTATGATTTCACAACTTTCCTCTGGATTTAGGCTTTTGTGCATTGAGCTTCAAGTTCCAATGATGTTGTGTTGTTAATAATGTTGTAACCAGACTTGCTTGTAGGTAATTTAGTATTTGATTTACAAGATTTATCATATTCTTTTAAGAATAATAGACTACCGTATTGTAGAAGCAATGTGTTGGAACAACGCCCATGATAGTAAGGTATTGCTTTAAATAACCTTTAACAGAATAAAAATGAAGATAAATTTATTCTGTCTGCTACTTTGGTAAGTATATTGCGCATACTGTAGCACAACGCAATATTGACTTCTGGTTATTTCTAAAATAATTAATGAATAAACCGATTCACAATAAAATAATTAGTAATATAAATAGTCTAACAAATTTTATAAAAAAAATGTTGAGGGAGTATATTTTGTCTTGAAGAGGTCGGCTAGGAAAAGATGAAGAAAAGACTAGATTAAACCAGATATTTGAACTAATAAAACATCTTTAAAGGGATTATTCACCAAAGTAATTTTACAGTTGATTTCCATATGTTTAGGGTATTTTCCCAAGTGACAATTTTCCTAGTAGCAACTTCCCGAATGTGAAATCTCCCAAGCGGCAACTTTAGATTAGACCTTCTGAGTTGCTACAGGCTGCAATAAGGTAAGAGCGCTACGTCTAGGATGGGCTAGGAAGCGGAGCGCTGTGGCTAGATTAGGCTATGGGGCCCAATGTGGCTAGGGCAGACGTGGGAAGTTATCGCTTGTGATTTTCACATTTGGGAAGTAGTTACTTGGGAAGCCATCCTTGGGAAGTCTTTGGTAAAATACCCAGGGGCGTAAATAAGGATTATATAGGGGGGTAAATAAATATCCCCCCCCCCTAGAAAAATATCATGATTATATATCATGATTGGTTTTAGTTGGGTTTGATTTGCATTTTCCACTCCATCAAATAAAGGCTTCATTTCCTACCTTTCAGCTTTTACCTGGTTTTATATCCTTCATTATAGTCATTCATTTAACATTAACTACAAAGATCTGTAAAAAAAACTGAATTTATTTTAAGTAACATGTAAAATAGTTTTACTCTAAGAAGAAAAAGATATAACTTTTTTAAATCTTTAGAAAAGCTACTCTGCAAAATTAAGAGCTAGGTGAATAATCCCTTTGATTTAGACATTATGCATAAACACACATTAGTACATCAACATTATTCTTTTACACTGTTACACACTTTTCCTAATTAGAGAATCAACTAATATTAAAGGGATTGAATTTCACGTGACCACTCCATGTAAAGATGGCGGTGCCATATTCACAACGGTACCCTTAAAATCTTTGCCTGTCAATTATGAATTCAGTATCAATGCTTCTAATTTTTAAAAACTAATTTTTTCAATTGAGGTTTTTCTACAAAAGTAAATTGTGTATTTATTCTGCAGGAAAACATATGGGAATTTTAAGCCTGAAAACGACAAAATCTTCAATGCTTTTGATCACATAAAGGTTACAAGGGATGAAGAAATGAAAATTTTGATTCAGATTTGATAAATTGCAGAATTAACTACACTTGTAGTTAGTACATGTCTGCAAAGTATTTTCTCGTTCCTAAAAGTAAAGAAAAATAAAATTCTATCTCTCAATGCAATGTCAAATCAATTTAAATATTTTTTCAATAAAATAGATATGCCATTATTAAAAATATAGGCACACCAACCTTAAGAAAATAAGAAATAATTATATCTAAATACAAATTTTTGCCTTATAATAATTCTGTTTTTACAAATAAGGACATTTTTTGGGCTTTTTAAATATATGTTGCACAGACCAAATGATGGTTATTACCAATGTCCAAAAAGTTGACTTTATAGACACATATGGTATCAACCCAATTAAAACCTGAGAGGTCCTTTTAACTTAATATTATATGTGTGTTCGAATTTAATGAATTTAACCCGCATCTCAAATCCCCCAAAAACCGGTTTCTTTTGAACGCCGGCTTAAATCTTGAAAAATTGAATACAATTTTAAGTGGAACCAACCATATTTGAGGTTGAATTTAAGCTGCGGCTCAAATTCTTTAAATTCGGCCTCTTTTCATTTAATTTCTTTAAAAAAAGATTTTTTGTCCCCAGGACATGATCGGGTTGTTACGATCAAATCTCGGAATTTTTTCTATTGCGAAAGTTTGGTGTTGTCTGGGTTTTTATATTGATCTACCAGGGGTTGTAATCTGGCAGCACATTCATCCATCCACGCTTCATTCATTCTGAGAAGAGGGTTGACAAGATTCCAGCTGCCTAAGATTCTTCTTAGGCCTGAGAATATAGAGTGCAGGAATCCTTCTGATATACTGGAATGAGGCCCGGGTGCCGTACTGATAGGAAACATCACATTGCTCCCTAACATCTGTAAGCCCGGATTGGATACCCCCAGGTACCTATAGCTGGCAACCATAGACTCTCCCTGCTTGTCCACCATTCCTCTCTTCATCGTCATTCACTTGGATCAATCCCACTTGAAGCTTCTTTCTTGTTGAGTAGAAAGCACGCACCCTTTCGCTGCGAGAGTTGTTGACAGCCGCCCCTCTGTCCTCCTACATCCGTCAGGTGGTCATAACTGCTTAACCAGATGTCGGCTTCAGATGTTTTTTGAAACCACAGGTTTGTGTGGAGTACGGGAATTTCAATAATTTCAATAATTCAAACCATTTGCGTTTTTTTGAAAACCAATGCTTTTTGAACATTGTGCACATTTACAGTCTGAGTAAATTGTGAAATATTCGAAATAGTTTTTTTACTGTTATCTGTTAATGATTGGAATTCATTTTAATTAGTATAGTAATGATTTTTTGTCTTTATTTGAAATGGAATAATAACATAAAGGAGTATTCAATGTAATTTGTGTAAAAGAAATTGAGTGTTTGCCACAAACTCAAATTATCTAATCTCTATACAGGGTTACATACAAAGTATGAAAATGTAAAGACAACTTAAAACTTTTCAAATATGACGTTTCTAGATTTAGATTAAGTCTTCTGCCTTGAAAGAAGTCTTTAAATGGTTTATTTAAAACATGGCAAAGAAAGAAAAACTATAGAGTTGAGGGAGGGGAGGAAGTCCAGCTACAACAATTTCTCGACCAAGCCACATTCTCCTTATTTTCTCATCCGAGCCACCTCAGAATTCTCGTCCTTTAGTCATCATGCGTTTTAAAGTTTCCAATTCTCTAAGATAAATCTTTTTTGTCAGAGCATAAATTATGGATGGACTAAAGTATTGCAATGATTAAATCATGTTGGAATCTTTAAGCTCATGTGAATGATGTCAAACTTCATTCAGGCAAAACTTAAATCTCTTCTGCCTCCGTAATGGCTAACCTTCGCGATATAAAATAAATAGCAACACATTTGGCATATCTTTGCCTATAACTTTCCCCATTGAACCACCCGAAAAAATTCTATGGTTTTCACTATAATTAACAAAAAAGATTAAAGTTCTATAAATTCAGAATTATTTGCAGCATTCTATACCAGGCGCGCAACTAGACATTTGTTTAGAGGGGGGATGGATAGGGGGAAATATTTTGCGCGAAGCGCGAAAAATTTTTTGGCCCCCCCTAAACATTTTTAGGGGGGGCAAGAAAAATGTGTGTTATACTTAAACAATAAAAAACTAACCTTACCAACCGGATATTCAGTTAAATGTCTGATATAAAATGAAACAAGAAATCTATTCTGGTCAGGGGCGGATACAGGGGGGGGGGGGGGGG